TGTCTGGTGTGGGGCTGTGTTCTCCTGGAATGCACCAGAGTCTGCTTCTGTGACCAACAAGGTGAAGGGGGAAAATGATGCGGAAAGCTGCAAATAGCATTTCCACAAAAGGGGAAATGTTGACAAGACGTGGCTGGAACACCCTCAGAGGCCAGCCAGAGGCTGAGGCCTCATTTATCCTGACTTGGAAATCCTCAATTTTGTCCCTGCTCCCAGCCTAGAGCTTGACCCACAGGCCTGCATTCAAGTCCCAATGTTTATATCAGAGAAAGTCCTGCTCACTGAGGCCTTTACCCAAGCAGAAACCTGACTTTCTAGACACCTGAGTCTGGTCTAGTCCTGAGTACCTGCATGGAGGCATTGCCCTGCCTAGTTGAGGTAAGACTAGAACACACCAGCTGAAGCCCTGAACCCAGTACCTCAAGACTCAACCAGCTCCTCTGCCGTCCGCTTTGTCCCTACAGCCCACCTGATGCTCCTGGACTTGCTTTGGTTTCTCTGGCCCAGGCTGAGAGCAGCCTAAGCACCCCAGAACCAGGTTTTTCTTTCACACTCCAAACTTTCCTTACCTTGGCCTGGGCATTGGCACGGGTGGATCGCCTACCCTTTGGCTGATTGCCGCATACAGAGCTTTACAGGGAATGTAAATCACCATGGCCTCCAGGGCACACATTCTCTTACCTGTTCCCTGGACCGTGAGATGCCATCTTCCATTTGTACCTCCTCTCCCCGACCCTACCACATACATCTCCATCCCCCGACCCCAAAGTGACTCCAGGAGAAACTGAGGCAGCAGAAGGTAGAAAGAGAGAGAACAGGCCTGCTTTGGGTAACTGATACGAAATAATGATGTCCCCACTTTATGACAGGGTTACACCCCGACAAGCCCATGGTAAGTCGAAACATCATTCAGCACTCAGGTCTCCTGAGCTACCGTGCAGAGAGATGTCACCCACCGATGGTGGCACTCCTTGTGATACTGACTTGTGATGGAACCATGGTCTCCCTGACTCCCTCCGTCCAGTGTCTTGAAAGGGGACCACACTACAAAGTGAAAAACTAAAAATCTGGAGCACAGGTTCTATTGGCTGCTTATGTCTTCCATGGCACCTCTAAGTGGTAAAGTGGCGGGCGGAGCCCTCCTAAAGAAGACGTGGACTTATGTCACCTTAGTCCTTCCGCCGTCCGTGCCTACCCCAAGGATTTGTGTGCAGATCCAGAAAACCTTTCAGACACTCTGCAGGAAGTACATTCACACACGAAACGTCTAGGAAAAGTCAAGAACAGGCTAGTTTTCCAGAACAGTCTCAGTTCACGACTATGGCAGGGTATCCTGACAATTCAACATTTGCTCCAGACAGTGCGTCACACCATCAGCCTACCAGGAAAGCAGGAACGCGCCTGCCCAGGTGCCCAGGGCCACTCCTTTGGGGAGTTGTCCCTGGCATTGCTGCATTCGTGCCCCTCCTGTGCCCTTCCACCCTTTCTTAATCCCTTTTTGAGACGTTCGAAATTCTAGCGCGAAGCCCCGCCTAAGTGTCTAAGATGTTAAGTGCCAGGTAACCGGAGCATCTGGTGACCTTCGTATAGGCCTGTCTTTGGTGTTCTGTTCTATGACCCTGACAACATCTAGCACATAAACCAATGTGAGGTTCGACTTGCAGAGAAGTATATGTCTATTCACGAAGAGCTATAGAACTCAATGGCCACTTGGGCAGTCTCCTTGGCAGTGCACATAACTGGCTTATTATGTCATCCAAAGGGACCAGAAGGACTTTGTTTTCCACCAAACATTTGTGTCTCAAATTTGCACTGTCCCCCACTCTAGGCTAAAGAGAAGTCCATGGGGTCCCTTTGGGGAATGCCAGAGCCTGGTAGCTGGGATTCACACTAGCCAAGCCATCATGGCTATCACAACTGGAAATTTATTTGACCCCAAAGCCACTGGACATGAGTGGCCCCTCAGCGTCTTCAGATCGTCCCATATTCGTGTTGGTAAAACCCCATTTCTTTAGGTGTCAATCTGTTGCCAGGGAATTGGAATTTGATCCTGCCTTGGGCCTAAGTCATACGGTAGATGGCTGGGAGCCCTGGCCTGGTGGGTGCTATCACAGCTCAGCCCATCCTTCATCATGCTCACAATCAGTGTTGCATCCTGTCCAAAGGGGAAAAAAAAAAGCAAGTGAAAGAAAAAGAGCTGTAGGAGCTAATGGCAAGGGGTGGAAGGGCCACTCAAGTATCCCAAAGAAGAACAAAGGAGACATGCTGGGTGACGAAGGACTGCTCTCCAGACAGCCTCTCTGGGGTACAACTCTTTTCCCTCCCTAGAAAAGCCCTGTAGCCTCCATTCTCCCCTGGAGAGAGCTGTAAGGGTGGGTTATGACCTTCCATCACTTCAGGGTCAGAACAAACTTGGTTCCTCCTGCTAATTCTTGTCTCCTGAACACCGCCCTTCAAGAAGTAAGCCTTGCAGATCCTAGCCCAGTCACAGAGAGACCAAGAGAAGGTGGCATCAGCTTATTGTCCAATAATACAAACAGAAACACCTTTCGACAAAGCAGTTACTATGTGTATATACTTCATACATGTGTTTACATGTATGCCTATGCTTTTCCACACACACCCATGACTGAGCACTGGACACCCAGACCAAGCTTTGGGAAGATACCTAGCCAAGTAAACATCTAGTCTATTTATTGTTCCTTAAGAACTCTTGTTATAAACCTGGCCTACTGTGATAACAGAAGCCCTGGTATTGCAAAACCACTCCTTTGGGGAGTTGTCCTGGGCAGAGTTTACCAGCTTTGCTCTCCCCTAAGGTTCCTGCCCTTTCCTAAGCCTTTTACGTCAATCTCTCCCTTTTGCCCAGCATTCTAAATCCTAGAGATAAGATCACCAAAATGGTTAAGATGTTAACTGACACGTAAGCTTTTGTCAACTTTACAGAACCAAAAGTTTCCGGTGACCCTTGAAACACCTCTCCTCCATCTCTAGTTCTGTGCATCCACTAAAAACTGACCAAGTCTTGCCTGCAGAAACATAATATGCCAGGCTAAAAAGAATTACAGAGCTAGTTCCAGGAGATGCAGGACCATTATGATGTGTTGAGAAAAAGAAACAAGAGATGTGCCCTGAGTGATGGAGACCCCACTCAGGGTCCTGCCCTGCCCTTTCCTCCCTACAGAATTCCTTTGCACTCCTGAATCCCACAGGTGGAGCTTTGACAAGGAGCCTGTCCATCTCCTTCCAGCAACCTCTGAAGAAGCCTGATTCCTTCCCACTAATTGCTTCCCCAAACATTGGCCTCCAAACAGTGGTCAGCATGGACTTTACTGCAGTACCACTGGGATGGTGAGGCAAGGAATGAGCAAACAGACAAGAGTTGATAAAGACAGAGACAGAGATGACAGGAAAGGTAAGAGAAGGGAGAGAGGGGAAAGGACAGGAAGACGGAGAAAGAGGAAAGGGTGGGTTTAGTTTTCATTTGTAGCTGTAAAGCCCCAGGCAGAGGGCATGCCCACTCTGCCATGCTGAAGTTATCTGCCACCCACCCTCCAATGTTTCTGACACCAGCACCTTCATGTCCCAGAGCTCTCTCTCTCTCTCTCTCTCTCTCTCTCTCTCTCTCTCTCTCTCTCTCTGTCTCTGTCTCTGTCTCTCTCTCTCTCTCTCTCTCTCTCTCTCTCTGTGTGTGTGTGTGTGTGTGTGTGTGTGTGTGTGTGTTAATACTATAGATTTCCTAAAGACCAGCTCTCCCCAGTACTCAGATTTGGAATAGGAGTTCCCTGAGGATGGAAGAGGCAAATGAAATCCAGAGAAGACCATGGGCATGTTTAGTCCTAGCTCTTGGGGATTCACTTAGGAAGGCGGAGCTCCCACTCACACTTGGGGAAACCAAACCACCACCAGGACAGTCTCTTAGGAGCACGCTGTGGTTTGAAGTCCTGCGAGCCGTGGCTCATATAATCTTCACAAGCCTTTGTCTCGCAGGAATTTCACAAACTACATCGCATTTTGTCTCTTACCCCTCAATGCTGCAAACCCACTGCTGCCCAACTTTAGGAAGAACTCAGATGAGCTTCCCACCTTGCAGTTGTGACTGTATGGGATGAGAGGGGACCAAGTCTAGTCCATCATCGTAACAGAAACTGACATCACACTGCAGTCCCTATGGGTCTGTGGGTCCTCCAGGCACCATTAGCACGCACGTGTGCACGCGCAGACACACACACACACACACACACACACACACACACACATTAAATAAGTTTCCAGAAGTCCTACCTTCCCTTCCCAAGGGCCCTGACCTTCACCTAATACAAGTGACGCACCTAACGAGACCACCTGAATCTATATTTAATGAGATTTCTTTCAGTGGTTTTCAGATTTCTTCGTGACCATTAACCGTCAGAAGTGCTGTTCTAAGATGCAGCCCCTCTGGAGAGGGTTCTGGTCACAAACAGAACCGGCTGCTAGTCTATGCTTGTCTAACTCTTTTCTAGCAAATCCTGACAGATACCTTCCCAGGGCCTCACATTACTGTGTTCCTACTTTGACAGGTCCCTCAACACTTTGACAAAGCCACTGCAGGAAATAATAATTTTTAAAAAAAGAAAAAGAAAAGAAAGAAAAGGAAAGAAAAAAAGGAAGAGGGTGGGGGGGACAAAACCATCAAGTATGCTAACATTTTAGAATGGGAGATTGAGAAGAGAGAGGAAATAGAGAGGGGAAAGAGCAAGGGCCCTCTTTCTTCCCTGGTTCCTTCCTGGGAGACTCACACCAGGGCTTCCCGTTTGTTTTCCATGACTAAAGCACACGGGTTCTGCCTACTCACAGCCCTGGCCACTCGGCTGCCCCTCCCCAGTTCCTCCAGCTTGTCTAGAGTCCAGTAGGTCTGCAGACTTGGCACACAGTGCACCCACCTGCCTTTGTTCTGCCCACTAAGAGGGTTCTCTGTGGGCCCGGCAGGGTAGAGGGCTGCTGGGTCTCCAGATGTTAGCATGGAAGGGTCCATCCAGCTCCTGGCCTGCTTGGCATGTGTCCTCCAGATGGGTGAGTTCCCCTATTTACTCTGACCCGGAATAGAGAAAGCCTCCACTGCAGTCTTCTCCCCTCGAAATTAGCAGCTGAGTTTGCTGATAGCCTCCAGGTCTGCGCAGGAGGAAAGCTACACATTAGAGGGCTGTGGGAACAGAGGGCAGAGGACCAAATCTTGGCCTTGTCTTGGGTTTCTAAGTGACTTGGGGCAGTGCCCTGATTTCGTGCAGCTCAGTGTTCACCACTATACAAAGACCACATCCCTATCGGTTGCTATGAGGGGAATAAATCTCTAAAATGAGGAAGAAGGCGCCGGCTCTGGACAGACTTTGGGTGTTACTGTCACCCAACTGCCCCTGGAACAAGGAGAAACAAGGAAGCCACAAGCGTGTGGTGTGCAGGGACAAGGATGAGGATGGCTCTATGTGGAGAATCAGACCAAGGAGAGAGGCTGCATTAACGTCCTAGCGGGAACACTGTGGGGTGAGTGGAAACTCTTCCCTGGGAACAGGGCTTCTCAAAGGATGCTGGGTCTACCTGATTCAGAATCAGGGGAACACAGGAGTTAAAATGCAAATTCTTTGCCTCTGTCCATGGCCTGCAGAATCAGAATATCAGGCAGCAAGACCCAGGACCCAACATTGCCAGTCACCATCTCAAGAGATGCCAATGCCCGGGGAATTGAGAGTGTCGTGGACAAAACTCAGAAGCCCTTCTCTCCCAAGCAGTTCTTTTCCCCAACCCCAGTCTGGGACATCTCTCTCAAAACCCCTTCTAAAAAGTGTCTACGCCATCGCAAGCATAACCACCTTGTGCCCCATGCTGACGTCATGGCATTCTGAGTAGTCACTCAGATGAACCTCAGTGTGTGTGGCTTCAGCTCTCTTCCCCCCGGACTCACATCCTGCCATCCCACAGTGGCAGAGACGGGGTTCAGTCAGGGCTGTTTCTTCCTCAGGGCTCCGACTCAGAAATCTTTCTGTGAGGGTGGGATCTAAGGGGTTAATTAGTCCGACCTGGACTGGCAGATGTGTGAATTGCTAAGGACTCGGAAATTGATATCTGGTGCAAACTTCGGATACCAGCCCTGGTATCCACGAGCTATGAGCAGGCCAATTGTCTAACTCTCATAAGCCCTATAGAATTGGTCCCTGTCACCGAGATCATGGAGGCCAGAAGGAAATGGAAAGGATGAATGAGAAGTCTTTTCTGTTCCCAGCAAGCATTGTGATAAAGTCTGCTCAACTGAGGAAGTTCTACTCAGGAGGACCAAAGCAGAGTAGAACAAGAACCCCCCAGGATAGGGACAACATCCTATGGTGGGCACTGGCTGCTGCCAGGATCAGCCTGTGTCTCTGCCTCTCTCTCCATCATCTCAGGTGACTGAGACAGCCACAACCACATCACACCCACGTGGCTGGAGAAACAGAACTGAAGGGGATCCCTGAAAAGAGATGGAGACTAACTAGGCCTTGCTCTCACACCCCTAAGACTCACCCATTCCGGAACCTTCTAGGTCTGTCATTAAGGAACAGAATTCCTGCTACCCACATCTTCCTCCTCTCGACTTTTCTCCACTGACCAGCTGCTCTGCCATCTACAATGTCAAAGACATAATGGCTAGAGTGAGCTGAAGGGCAGGAGAGCCAGGAAGGATGAGGTCCGTGAAGAGCTGCATACCCCAGAGACCTGCTGCCTGTTGGCAAAGTTTGATGACTAGGCCGGACATAGCTTTTCACCTCCAAATCTTGCCCTTTGGGTGCCACAATGCCTGAGAGACCACCACTCTGGTCGCTCTTGAGAACGCCCCTGCTAGCATGCCCAGGTGGTTCTGAGGGAAAGCGCTCCTCACCAATAACTGTGCCCTTCAGGCTGGTTCCAGGTCCATTAGAAATGTTAGCACTGGAGAGGGGACAGGAGCTCCAGTCTTTGATGGCTTCCAGTTCTCCTGGCATGATGCCATCCCTCCTGGAGGCTCAGGCCTTTAATGCAACCATTAGGGAAGCATCAAAAGATGCTCGAGTAGTGCCTGTAGGGATTCCACCACAATCTGCTAAGCAATGAGTGTGACTGTGTCCAGCACCTCACAGATGGTCAACACAGACTCCCAGCAAATCCTGCCTCCTTTCTCACCGTGGGACTGGTGGAAATCGTTGGCCAGCTGCGGCCGAAGCAAAGGTTTCCGATTCTGATCCAGTTTCAATACTCCTTGCCCACCCTGGGCTGCCGGGTTCCTTTCCCTTCCTGCTTGATGAATAGTGTGTTGCATTTCCTCAGCTGTACCACAATCATAAGGATGTGGCCACTTTGAGGGCCACACAGGGAGCACCAGTGGGCCTCGTGGTGCACAGCTGTGCAGCTGTTTACTGGTTAGCTAGTGGCTTACTCTTAAGTACCTAAAAGTTCTTAACTAGACATAGTTCTAAAATATTTTATGTACTGTCAATTTACCCAAATTAGGCTTTAAGATTTATTTCGATTTTTTTTCTTAATTACTTTCTTGGTTGTTTGAGAGTCTTACCGTACAAACCCAGTTGGCTTGGGACTTACTACGCAGCCTAGGCTGGCCTTCAACTTAAGATCTCCCTGCTTCAGCCTCCTAAGGAGTAGGACCATACATTTTAAAAGCTGGGGAAAGATAATGCCAGGTGGGCAGTCATCACCATGAACTGACCGTGTCTCTGGAAGGAATATCATGGCAGTGAGAACTGGCATGCCCCGTCAGCCAGAATTTTAGGTTTAGCCACTTGAGTAAACATCCAGAAACAGTATTTCGTGGAGGATCTAGCAACTCAACAAGCATAGAGTCTTGCCTAAGGTCCCACTGACAACTTCGGAGCCAGGGCTGGAGACCCTGCCTCTCCATCCAAGGGATATGCCATTGAAACAAGACAACATTGAGGAGAATGAACTTTCATCTGGTACACTTGCTCCACAGCCCCATGCAGGGTCATGATGAGTCAGAACCCTCCGGGTCTACTCCTCCCCGAATGGCACTATAGGTTGGCCTCTTCAGTCCCAGGGCACCTTTTAGCGGAGCACCTGTCACCTAGCCTGATACAAGGTCCTGGTGAGTCATGACTATAGCTTTCCTATTGTAAACAGTGCATTTACTACATCATTTCTGCTCCGTGATTTCACTGTGTCCATGGACTCCTTCCAGGCTCGGTGAACGTCAGCTACCATTCCTCGCTACCTTAAATGACCTTACAGACAGAAGCCACTTCTTAGCTTTTCAGTGTATGTTTTCCTTACCAGAGTGGGGGTGGTCACCTAGGTTCAACTATGCCAAAGCTGACATGCTCCCACCATCCTTGATGGCCACCGCTGGAGGCTGATACTTTGAGCAACAAGAAGAATGTGGGCTTCCCATTGACCCTGGAAGTTGCCAGACACAAGGCAGACAGAGAGACTCCACAGAAAGCTCAGTGATCCCAGTCAGGAGTCATCCTGGCCACTTCTTAGCCAGCAGTCAAGAGGTGCTAGCGGCAATGGCAAATGTCGCAGGTTGCCAGGAGCTAGAATCTCTGCCAAAGCAAATGTCTTTGTTCTCTGGACAATACCTGCTAAGGACTGCTCACCTTCACCTTGAGTCCTCTGGGCGGGTGAGAGTTCAAGCATCGCTCTTTTCAATCCACTCAGCAAGAAGCCCATATCTGCTAATGGGAGCCAAGATGGAGCAACACCAGCTGGCTCTGCCGTTCAGGTCCCATTTTAGAATACTCCACAGCAGAATACAGATCCGGGTGGGATTCACAGGGGCATGTTGCCTGACCTCAGAGCGACCAAGCTAAGCCTCTGTTACCATTTTCTCACAGCAAAGCTGCCTGAAGTAACGCACCACCAGCGTGCCTGCCCAGGCAACAGAGCCCTCACTACAAGCCTACCTGGGATTCTAGCTGCCTCTGCCCACTTTTGGCATTGCTGTGTTATTGCAGAGTTCATCGTGGCAGTGAGTAGCTAGGGGAATTTCCCCCCAAACTTCAAGGCAATTGCAAGCCCTCTCCCCTTTTGGGAACTTTTACCTTTAAAAACCTTAAATGTTGCTATCACCGGCCGCAGGCGTGACGGGCTATCACCGGCCGCAGGCGTGACGGGCAATGAGTAGGTGAAGAGCCGGTGGAGAGGCGTTGCAGACCTCCTGTGTGAGCTAAAAAGGCATCTGAATGTGTTGTGCAGTCCGCATAGAAGGCTGGGGAAGTAGCAAGGGGAAGCTGTATTTTACTGCATTTAAAATACTGCATTAAAATACTACTGCAGCCTTTTAAAAAGCTGGTTCTCTCTGGACTTTAAAATTGTTCCTATGCAGCTTACGTTATTTTTTCTTGATCAAATAAACCGAGGATTTTTCCATGGGGAACAAGAGAGACTATTTTACAACTGTTCTTAAGCAACTGAGCACGGAGGTTAAGACAGGAATATAAATAAGGGAGGAAAAACCATCCAGGGCAAGCCGAGTCTCTGCTACTAGTTGGTCGCCAACTGAGCTAGCCAAGTCACTTTGGGCTCTACAAGCCCCAGTTCCTCTTCTCTCTAATGGGCTAATTAATGGTGGCGTCTCAGTGGGCTGTTGTGTTTTAAATGAGATGAGGAATGGCTCCCTATAAACCCCCATTCTTCAGTAGTTTGGCCTCCCTGTCCCATCATGCTTTCTTTGCCCCTGTGATGTCCATGACTCATTTTTTCTTTTTCCAGCTTTCTGAGACAGGGGTCCATGTGTCTTGAACTCCCCATGTAGCTAAGAGTGGCCTGGATTCCCAGGACTCCTCTTCCTGCATGCTTGAGGTATAGGCCCACACTGCCATGTGTTCCGGGTGTCACACCTTATGGCTCGGTTCCCCTGTTGCACCAGGTCTTGTGGAATTACTTACATTCTCTGGTCTCTGCACACAGGCACCTCCTCTGTGATGGGTTCCGCCATCCATGTCTGCTATACATAATCCCTGTATACTCTCTACACCAGCCCCCATCCTCCTGACAACCTGACCCCCTTTCATCCCAGGGTACAGGGGAGAGATGCCAGAGCCAGGCTTGGGGGCTCAGAGAAGAATATTCTGGCAGGGCTAATTCCAGAGAACAGGGGCTGAATGGGAGGGCGCCTGTGAGTGAAAGTGGGCTGGGAACCACATCCAGACAAAGGCAACATTGTTTGGATCCATCAGAGAGCACCTGGCAGAGTGCCCCGTAATTACATGTTCACTGATCCTTCTCCATCTAGCTCCAGCAGGGCTGACGGGGTATCCTGTCCATCTCTGTCTCTGCGGCTCATAAGCCAGCACCTGGCATGGAGTGCGGAAGTATCCAATAGACGTTTGCTGGGTCCATGAATGCACAATAGCAGACAATTGTGGGCAATCACTGCCTGACCCCAGGAGCTCATAAGATGCAAAGATCAAAAAAAGGTCACAGAGGGTAGGCAGCACAGGGAAACTGAGGTAGGAGCTGAGGGTGCACACCCATAATCCCAGCTTCTAGGAAGATGAGGCAGGAGGACTGCAAGTCCAAGACCTGTTGGGACTACATAGTGGGACCCCCATCTCAACAGCAACAACAACAAAACCCAGAAGAGCATAGTAGTACATGCTGGAATAGTAGTACATGCTGGAATAAGTAGTACATGCCTGTAGCCCAGCACTCAAGAGGCTGCAGCAAGGAGCTGACGAAGTTGGAGTCAGATTGGAATATACAGTGAATTCCAGGCCAGCTTGAACTACGTTGTCAGAGAGACAGACAACAGACAGACAGACCTGAGGAAACTCTTGAGACTCTTCCGCTAGAAGTGCTGACTGGATCGGCACGATCTTCCGTTTTCTCAGATTTGAAAAGCAGCCCTTTGATCACTACCAACTGAACAAACAAGTTCTTACTTAGGATAAATGTCAAGCCCTCCACTTGAATTCAAACATGTAATTCAAGTTGTCCAGAGCAAGAGATTAGCAAAAAAAAAGGGGGGGCATTAAAAATAAAACGAAAAACAAACTGTGGTTTAACTTGATGGTCTTCCGGCTGTGCACCCACAGCAGAACTCAACTGGAGGTGGTGCACCCCTCTGCAGGAGTCACACACTAGGGTCCCCTGGCGCAGGGTTTGAGCAGAAAGGAAAAGGGGGGAGGCATACGGGAATGACCCAGTCTTTCCCATCAGGAGACGGTAACGAGTCCAAGAGTAGACACAATGAGCTCCCGCTAGCGCCAGCTTGGGCTCGTCCAAGCTCCTGCAGCAATGGCTGATCTGGACGGCTTCTGTACAGGGGCGCCCTGTTCACCCACAGGTGCATGGGCTCCGTGGGAGATGGGCTACCAGTGGTGGCCTGAGGGTATTCTTACCCGAGAGGTCAGTGAGGCTAACTGACCACAAAGAGCAGTGGGCTTAGCATGGTGGGATGCGGGCACCACGATGACAATGAATGATGGGCTGGCTTTTTCTTACTTGCCTGACGCAGGCTTTCATTTACTCATCTCTAACAATCTTTCTCTGTCTCTTGGATGCTTTCAGGGCAGATGGCATGGTGTATATAAAGGAACTGTGTATAATACAATTCTAATTATTCCTTGTAAAGGTCCCTTTTGTGCACTGTGCCCCAGGGCACTGGCTAGGCAGGTTTGGTCACCTGCCTCCTCTTGGGGAGGTACCACCCCTGGGATAAGCCTCTGAGGCTGAGCACCTGCATCCTCAAAGCCACAGCAACATGGGGCCAGGTGGTTTGAAAGTACTGGGTAAACTGGAGGCAGGGCTCAGCTTCCAAACCTTAGCTTCACATTCTGAAGAATTGTCACTGGGTAGAAGATAGGGCAAGTGAGTCTAGAGGTGGCCCCTTGCAGAGCAAGGAGGCAATACAGCCCCTACCACTCTGACCTTGTCTATCCCTGTCTGGACACTAGCATGTAGGAAGCCAACCCAGGACACAGTCCTCTTGGGCTGACCCTGACACTAAAGGTTGAGTTCCTACCAACTCAACCGTATGCTTCAAAACACTGTCCCCTCCAGGGCCGCAGTTTCTCCCCTGCAAATGAGACCGTTATTGCCTTCAAATGCATCCACAGTTTCACGCCTTTAGGGCACTGTAATGCAGGCTGTGGGTGCAGGCAGTTCTGACTTGAACACTGATTTGGCTTCAACTTGGCCAGTTATTTAACTTCTTCGTGCCTGGGTGTATTAACATGTAACATCTGTGCCCATCTCTAGGATCACTTGTGAAAACTGGAGATGCTCTGGCGGATCTGCACAACACAGAGGCGCACAGTGAGTGATTTTATCATCTTAAAGATCCTGTAACCACGGGATAACGTAGTGTTTCGGGAAATGCACAGGTTTCTGATAGAGAGAAATGCTAAAGAGTTGTATCTGTCACTAGGTCACATGCCACGAAAGAGGCAAACCCAAAGAAGGGCCTGGAGAAACATCCATCCCATCCCCCTTCCCTTAGTCATGGTAGAGGAGGGAGATGGCTCTAAAGCCAGGAAGTGGGGTTCCAGCCGAAAGGAACCGCTTGCTGCCTGAGTACTAGTGTTTACAGCCCCTCTCGGGGCATGGGGTGGGGAAGATGTCGCCAGAGGCCAGGAACCCGGTCTCCCCAGGCTAGGTCTGATGTGTTCCTGGCCGGCAGGCGTGCCGGAGCAGCGCTGGTCCATGCAGGTGCCCTCCGAGGTGAGCGCGGAGGCGGGCGACGCGGCGATGCTGCCCTGCACCTTCACACACCCGCACCGCCACTACGACGGGCCGCTGACTGCCATCTGGCGCGCGGGCGAGCCGTACGCCGGCCCGCAGGTATTCCGATGCACCGCGGCGCGAGGTAGCGAGCTGTGCCAGACGGCTCTGAGCCTGCAGGGCCGCTTCCGCCTGCTGGGCAACCCGCGCCACAACGACCTGTCACTGCGAGTCGAGCGCCTCGCCCTGGCGGACAGTGGCCGCTACTTCTGCCGCGTGGAGTTCGCTGGCGACGCCCACGACCGCTATGAGAGCCGCCACGGGGTCCGGCTGCGCGTGACTGGTGAGGTGGGCTGGCGGCGGAGGAGGTGGTACCCAACTTCCCCGCATCCCTGTCCTGAGAGCCTACTGGGTGCCAGGGAGGCCTCTGAGAACTTGGTAGAAATTCAGAATTCAGATCCAGAAAAGGCTGGACTGGGGCGGGTAGGTCATGTCCCGATGCTCATAAACACCGGTAACTCTCAAGGAAGGAGAGAAAAACAACCAATAATCCTAACCTGGCAAGGGGTACAGGAGGAGTACGTGTCCCCTGCACTGAAAAATTTCTCACCCCAGCCCCCAACCCCTGCACATCCCTTGTCCCTAGAGCACTACGTGAATTGGCCCCTCCCTGCGGTTGTGACCCTTTGGTCACACACAGTTGAAAGCCCAGCAATCCAAGCAATATCTAACCCTAACCCCTAACACAAGTATTAGTTTGCCAAATCTCAGTGACCCCGTAAAATAAAGACAGTTGTGATCATCAATTTACATATGGAGAAACTGAGGCAAAGAAGAAAAATAGCTTGCTAAGGCCACTGCTGCAATAAGATCCAGACAAAGACTCAGACAGCCTGGCGCCCAGGTGTTCCTCTCTTCTCTCTGGGCACCCCCACTACCTCACCGTTCCAGTTTGGAGGTCGCTACCCCTTGCCTTATCAAACCGTAGCCTCTCTCACGCTCCCGGGGCACTGTCCTCTGCTGGTTAACCCGCGCCCGCCTTCTTCCCCCGCAGCTGCACCGCGGATCGTCAACATCTCGGTGCTGCCAGGCCCGGCGCACGCCTTCCGCGCACTCTGCACTGCCGAGGGGGAGCCCCCGCCTGCCCTCTCCTGGTCCGGCCCCGCCCTGGGCAACAGCTCAGCGAGCGAGCAGAACCAGGGTCACGGCTACCAGGTGACCGCCGAGCTGCCGGCGCTGACCCGAGATGGGCGCTACACGTGCACGGCAGCCAATAGCCTGGGCCGCGCAGAGGCCAGCGTCTACCTGTTCCGCTTCCGTGGCGCCCCCGGAGCCTCCACTCTGGCGCTCCTGCTCAGCGCGCTGGGTCTCAAGGCGCTGCTGCTGCTTGGTGTTCTGGGTGTGCGCGCCACCCGCCAAAGACTAGGTGGGTGCACCCCAGATCTGGGTGGGGACGAGGGGAAGGACAGAGGCTTTTTCCCCCTTTCTGGCAGACCATCAGAGCATCCTTTCTCCACCTGAATCAGCTCAGTTCCTTCTCTGCCTGGAGCCCGGGAGGCAAGACCTGCTTGAGGCTCTTTGCACAGCATGGAAGGCGAGGCTCTGCAAAGTAGCTTGCTTTTTGCAGTCACACAGATGGTGACCCACCCAGTCCTGTCAGGTGTAAAGCAGCTTTTTGTTGCTGTTGCTGCTGCTGTTGATTTTTGATTTTTGTTTTTAACCATCACACTACAACTCAGTGTCCCTAAAGGTCAGGCCTCAGGCTTCCCCTTACATTGTAACAAGCATCTTGAGGCCCTGAGGTTATGCATCATGATGCTGGCCACACGAAGATGCCAGGATGTGATTCCCTGCCAACCCGTAAGAGGCTGAGTCAGCAGAGCTTTACGGTAGCCCCTTAAGAAAGGTTCCTACAGACCCCAGAAACTGTAGAAGGCAGAGGACATCTTGCTATTCTGAGGCCTTAAAAAGAGAGGCGAAAACTAAGCAGAAAAATGTAAGGCAAGGGAGCTTGGAACACATGAACGGCACACCTGGCCGGGGAACTCGCACTTTTAGAAAGCCTCTCCACACTGCATCCCAGCCCTTGCTAGGGTGTCTGCTTGATGAGCACCCCGGAGAGGGAGAGACTTTCTCAGAGCCTTTCGGTTCTTCCAGATGAGGAACATTAGCCTCAAACTCTCCAGGGATGAAATTGCTCAGCTGCTAATCTTACTGTGACCCTGCCGTTCTTGCTGGTCTCTCAGACTTAAGGAACATGTTGCATTTCATGGTCCTCCCTCAGAAAGGTGGTTTTGCTCTGCTGGACCACATCCCCTTAACCCACCAGTTAACTCCTATTCGTCTACGGGATTCAGGCTTCATAGTCACTTTGGCTAGCTGTCCATCTGCAGCCTGTTGCACATCTCCTGGGGACCCCTGCTCGCAGTGGGGTGGGGACCACGTCACGCAGTAGAGCGTGCGGCTGACATGTATGTAGGTTGGAGTTGACAATGTAAAATCACACCTGCTCTTTCTCTGTATCCCTCACACAGATCACCTGGTCACTCAGGACACCCCTCCACGGTAAGTGCTATTGCTGCCCTTCCTACCCCACTCATGCCTTGTCTCATTGGCCCAGGGATGCTAGTTTCTCAGAACTTGTAGTAGGAGGGGAAAGAATAGACCTGGGACAAGGTTAGGGCAGTAGGCTGGATCAGGGCCTGTGTCATACCCAAAGTACCCTGCAGCTCCATCCCGCACACCATTCTCAGAACAGAGTAGGCCAGGCTGGCTTGTTACCCAACTCAACACACAAGGAGCTTGGTATCTACGACCCTAAAAGTTAATACCACCAAGCTGTTGCCTCCTGTTTCTCCCAGCGTTCTAGAAAAGCTAGCCCTGTAAGGATACTGTGGTAGGAAGACTCATTCTCCCAGGTTTAGCTCTGCTTTCCAAACAAACTCACCAAGAACCTGACTTAGATGAGGGGTCTAAAAAGACATTAACTGGGTGTCCATTCTTTCCTCTAGTAAAGGCCCATGTTGAAGGAGAAAGAACTTGATGCTAGAGTACTCTGCCTGGTGCTGGCTGAGGGACCCAACTCTTCCCAACTGCCTGCTCAGGTCTTGACAATTTGTCATCCATTTATTTCCTTTATTGATGCAGAATATGACCAAAATCACACTATGTAGTTCAGACACCTACAAATACTTACTGAATAAGGAATATGGCAGGAAATCATTTGGATGCTAAAGAGACAGAAAAAAAAATCCAAACTTGCACTCCAAGGTGTGCAGTTTTTCACAAGCACTTAGCAAGACCGTTTTTAGATTGTTGAGTTGTAACAGGAATTGGCCCTGGTGATGATGCAGAGCCCCAGTGTGTGGCCAGTTGGCTGTGACTCCTTGAGATCAGGATACTTTGTCTGAAGACACAGCCCTGAAGAGAGCACGCTGGAGGCTGGAGCCTAGGGAGGCCAAGGTGGTGTGTGTGTGTGTGTGTGTGTGTGTGTGTGTGTGTGTGTACACATCCCAGGGATGGAAATTGCAAGTACAAAGGTCAGGTGGGCTGTGGGAGGGAGGCATGAGGAGGACATGGAACTGTGGGGTGGGCAGGCAAGGCTGGAGGTGAGTCTGAGTGACGTGGAAGTCAGAATGCTTTTGGGTGCTGTGTGAGAGGTCGCATTTGAGCAGACAGGTCCTGGAGGGAGACCCAGGAGGCTTTGTTTTCTTCTGTTCTGACAGCAACCAAGGGAAGGGCCTCTCTGAGGGTCAGGGAGGGAAAGAGGACACTTAAGGTTGGAGTCAAGCCCTGGTCACAAAGATGAGGAGGGAAGAGAGAGTAAGGGAAGGGTGTGTGCTTAGAACAGATGATGGGAGGTTGGAGGTGTGGGCATCTGGAAAGCAGTCAGACCTGGGGACACTGGGGACACTGGGGGCATGGAGCTGGGTTGGGATTTTTGCAGGAGATGATGAGCATGGTTAGGGACGCTGTCACCTGCAGCACCTCCCTGTCCTGCGTTAATCAGCCTTGCTGGATCTGGCTCCATTGCCTCCCACATGGTGTCCTCCTTGACCTGGGTGGTAAGTCAGTTTCCTCCTGTCTGCAGGTCCCAGGCTCAGGAGTCCAATTATGAAAATCTGAACCAGATGAGTCCCCCAGGCCACCAGCTGCCACGTGTTTACTGTGAAGAACTTCTGGGCCATCATCATCCAGTCGTGCACCGTGAGAAATGAAGGACAGTACCAGGCTAGACCTGTGCAGCTCCTCCTAATTCCCCAGGTTTCTCAGCAGCCATGGGCCAGGCGGCTTCCAGGGGGACGCAGGACCCTGCTCATAGAGGTTCAGAGCCTTGTTGTAATATGCCAGTGGAGCCAACAATCAGGATGTGTATATATATACATATATATACACATATGTCCACCTGAGCCTTAGAATGAAACTGTCCTTGTTTGTTCTTACTTAGAACTATATAGTAAAGCAGATGGGAAACTAGCCATAAGGTCTGGAGGTCCAGGCTCCAGCCTGCTCTGGTACCAACTTGCAGTGTAGACCAGGACACATTCTTCACGTCTCTAGGACTCATGATTCTCCATGACTGGCCAGTTTGTCTGAACTGAGGAAGCAGGAGATCCGAAGGAGCTGTGTGAACTGCAAACCTATAGCAACGGTGGGCCTCTGGACATGCAGAAGTGAGGTAAATGCGCAGCCTTGGGAGAGCAAAGCACTCCGGAGAACAACTCTGGGACTGGAGCTGTCCAAAGTGCTCAGAGAAACAGCAAACCCTAGAAACTTAGTAGCAGGAAGAGACCTGGAGCCTCCTGAGGTCTCCACGGGGACCATCCCAGCCCTCTGCCCAACTGTGATCATGTCAACGGATCCACACTGCTTTCAGCTGGGACCCACCAGGTGAAGGAAACTGGAAATCCATTGTCTCAAGCATCTGAAGGCTTTGAGACATATGCCAAGAACTGGAAGACCTGAAGGGGCACTGGGTTCTAGTGAATAAGGCAGCCGTGGCTCTGACCTCCCTCTCAGCGTATACCCTCCAAGGATGCACAAAGTCCAAGGGCACTGGCACCCTCTCCCCACCTGTCTTCCATCCCATCCAGGCGAACTTCAAGAGCAGAACTTTCCTTAGTTATACTTCAGTGTGCGTTGTTGATCCTGTCGAAGAAGAGGTGGACTTAGGACCAAGTCAGCCCCGAGACAGGAGGCTAAAGAGACCATGTTTGTCCAGGGACCATCTCTACAGGTTGAGGACAGTGGGCTTCCAGGTTTTCCTCGACACCAGTAAGAGCTGTTAAGAGATCACAGGCGTTGACATCTGGACCTCCTTGCAGAGGGGAGCTTTAGAGCATCTCCAGCAAGAGACTTGCATCACCAAGGGTAAAGATAGGGGCATGGTTACCGTGCAGATTAGCACATCATTGGCCAAGAGAATTCTATGAATTGCTGCTTACATACTTTGTTGTGTTATGAATTCCTATGTGAGATTATGAGACTGGAAATGACATCATCAGTTGGGGGGAGCTAACAAGCCCTAAATCACGTACTGCTGTAACAAGCCCTAAATCACGGTGGCTGAAAATGGCATTTGTTTTGCACTGTATTAGAGTTCTCTAGAGGAACAGAATTTATGGAATGAATATGTGGAGGGAGAAAGGAGGAGGGATTTATTAGGATGGACGGGTGACAGGCTAGGTTCAGTTAGTCCAACAATGGCTGTCTACCAAAGGAAAGGCCAGAAATCTAGGAGTTGTTCAATTCACTAGGCTGGCTGTCTCAGCTGGCCTGCAGTATATTCCAGACCTCCAAAGAAGGAGGCTCTGATGTCAGTGCAGGAATGGACTTGTCAGCAGAAGAAAGCACAAGCCGGCACTGAGAGCAAGCTGCTTTCTTCTGTGTCCTTCATAGAGGTTGCTAGCAGAAGGTGTGGCCCAGATTAAAGGTGGATCTTCCCATCTCAAAAGATCAGGATTAAAAGTGAGTCTTCACACTTCGAATGAATTAATTAAGAAACACCCTCACAGGTGTGCCCAGCCACTTGGGTTTCAGTTAATTCCACATATGGTCAAGTGGACAACCAAGAACAGCCACCACGCTCATCCCATTCCCATTGCAGGTTGGCGGGGAGGTTTATTGTTGTTGATTAGGAAACCAGATTGCAGGGATCCATCTCTGATGTTGTGAATTGCTAGACTGGAGGCGAAAAGAATCCTCTACAAGACAGTACAACCCGAAACGGTAGATGAGGAAACTTGTGAGAACACTGAGAATTGCCTCGGTTGGTAGCACAGAAATCCCTTCCAGAAACGCTTGGAAGCCACACAGTGAGCCCCAAACCATGCATGTGAACAGGCTCACTGACCCTGTCTTGGGAAGGCTCCCTGGAAGAACATGTGTGAAGATGGTATGCATTGACTGTGCTGATGGAGGAACAGAGATTGGGAGGGAAAAAAGGGAGGGCATTTGAAGCACAGGAACAACCCAAGCAAAGATGTCATGTCTGGACAGTTATCTGTTCCTGGAGCAAGAAGGAAGGGACAGGGTGTGGACATTTGCCCCGCTGAACGCAGGGTGCTGCCCTGTTGTGGGGTACCCACCAGAGAATACTGCTCAGACATGGCTTTAAGCCAATCGAAAGTCTTTATTAGCCAGCCAGCGACTACACTGGGTGTTCGGGACCCCAGTGTGGCCTGAAGACTTTCTCAGGGTGAGCTTTTAAGCACAAAAACCATATCCTGGGCTGAGATACTTCAGTTAACAAGAACGGTTAGCCAGAAGCAGAACTACAGAGGCCAAAGGCAAGGTTAGCACATCCAGACTTTCCCAGAACTATGGACTTCGATGGATTAGCTCTGTTTTCTTTTTAGCAGGCGGTGCTGTGCTGACTTTTATGGTCTGAGTGGTACTTTGATCATGGAGTCAGTTGTGCTAAAGTCTGGGGACTTACAAAGGTCTGGGGTTCCACCCCGAGCTGGGGTGAGGGTAGCAGGAGTTGGCACTCAAGGGACTGACTTTGGTGCTAGGCTCCTGGTTCTGCTAAACAGGGCTTCCTGCTTCCATCCATCATCTCCCATGAAATCCAAGGCTTCCATGTCGGGAATCCTGGGAGCTGTTTAAATAAATATCCATGCTGGCATTGCCTGGCCCTCCTGACCCACAGGAACGGAAGGGACTAGAACTTTAAACTTTAAACCGTATCTTCAGGAGACTTTACCCCCAAGGTTTTGGTGTTGTTTAATCTTTTTCAGCCAACACACACACACACACACACACACACACACACACACACACGAAAAACACCCATGCGCCTACCCCCTCCATCAACATCACTCACAGGTGCTGTTTCCCTACTGATGACCTGGCTGAATCGTTTGGGGATAAGCATCAGATTTCCCAGTTATCCACAAATCTAAACACCTTGAGGAACACGTACATTTAGTGACATTTTGTTACATTTAGGGACATTTGTTACATTTACACCCATATTCACATTTCTCCAATCTTCCTCCAAATGTCTCCGCTTGTTTGTAACCAGAAAGCCGCTGATTGCTGATTCCAGGGCAGCTGAAGTCGAGGTTTACTGTCTGGGATGTGCTGGCTACCGGCCTGGTGGTCCTTGCCACGGCACCCACACTGTGTGCAGTGGTCTTGAGAGGGAAAGCAGCAGCATCCTAAGGGGAACAGCCCTCGGTGCTGGTTTCTGTGATGGGCAACAGGGAGCCCAAGGGGCGCTGCCATCTCCTTTAACAGTCTGCCATGCTGCTCAGGGCCGCTTCCTGATTGGCTTCCAGCAAGAGTGCCCAAAGGGCAGTGGGGAATGCAGTGATGAAACAGGCTGGGACCGTCCCCTCTACACCCAAGGCCTAGATAGGACGAGATGCCTGTCCTCCGGTATCTAACCTCTGAGCAGGCTCGGGTAGTCACTGGCAAGCAAGGACCAGAGACACAAGCAATAGTCAAAAGTGATCACATTTGGGACTCCCTTCTGACAGCCCAAAGATCAGGGAGAGGATCCTAAAGACACAGTGCTTCAAGACTGCACTTCCCAATGTGATACAGGCTGCAAAGCTAGAACATTCTGGTTCTTCGAACCCTAAACCCTGTGGTTCTCTCTAGAAAATGAAGCTGAACCCACACAAACATAGGGAGACACACCCCACATCTAGAAGGCCATCCTTGAGAATTACTGTTACTCCAATGTGAGATCTACAGACCTTCCATCTGGAGTTGGTTTTTTGTTTTAACTCCACCCAGCTCCCAAATAAACATATGGAGACTTATTCTTACTTACTGATGCCCAGCCTTAGCTTGGCTTGTTTCTAGCCAGATTTTCTAACTTAAATATCTCGTTTCTCTTTAACTATGTTTTGCTCCTGGGATTTTTAACCTTCATTTTTCCTACATGTCTTTCTTTCCTTCTTCCTCTGTGGCTGGCTGTGTGGCTGGGGGACCAGCTCCTGGTGTCCTCCTCTCCTCCTTTTCTCACTCCTTGCTCCCTTCCCCAGATTTCTCCTTTTATTCTCTCTGCCTAGTAATCCCGCCTGCCCCTCTCCTGCCTAGCTATTTGCCATTCAGCTCTTTATTAGACCAATCAGAGTTAAACAAATGCAACATAAATGAATGTAACTCATCTTAAACCAATATTCCACATCCATCCACAGTTTGGCACATTCCAGATGCTTCCTTAGTGTCCACAAACGTAAGTGGGACCGGTGGCACACCAACACCAAAGGCAGACTTCTATGGTAGACCTTGAGCAAAGTCAGTCAGGCTTTGCCAGACACTCTTGCATCTAAGCACCCCAAACATTTCTGTTCATCACACACCCGTGGAACTTTAGCCAGCTTTCAAGGCCAACCTCCTGCAGGGGTCAAGGCCACCTTACAGCTGTTTCAGCTATCAAGGGCTCTTCTGATGGCCTCCCATACATATCAATTCCCACCATTCCCAAACACAGACACAGACACACACACACACACACACAGAGAGAGAGAGAGAGAGAGAGAGAGAATTTTTTTGAAACTAGAGGTCTTACCATTGTGATAAAAATTAAAAAAAAAAAGAATCGTAGCTATCACAAATCAACTAACTTAAAAATTCTCTTAATGTGATTTATGTCTGAAAAGGCCTGCCAACCAATTTGTTGAAAACCATGGGCCAGGCTCAACATGGGTAAATCATAATGTCCTTTATTTGCAGAATTTTACTTAGCTAATTCTCACATCTTCCAGTTTCTCACCATTAGACAAAAATGTGTCCTTCATACAAGCATGGAAGATATTACACAATGAATAAGAAGTAAAAATTGCCCAGTTAATGACCAAAATAAAACTGTAGTTTTAAAGGTCATACTTGACAGGCCACGAGGACCGTCAATACTAATCGCCAATACAAATCATCTTGAACCACTGAAAGAAGAGAGATCTCGGTGCTCAGTGGTATTACACGACACATTGAAAATAAGTTATAACCAACGTACCTTAGCACTTTCGTTACTAAACCAGGAGTAGCATAAATGTTTTTCAGATTATTCTCAAGGGGCATGAGGAACCCGTACAGAACAAAGGAAACGGAATAAGCAGGTGACCTGCTCCTGGCCACATGACCCCTTGCATGCTCCAAAACAGGAGTGTCCTGGTGGAGCAGAAGAATCTGTTTAGGGCCGGGCTCTGAGTCATGAGCCTCACCTACCATGATCACCTTAGAGGAAGCTGTGAAGTTAGTTCAAACTAAAGTGCAGGGATTAAGTCCAGGATGTGGAACAGGATGCAGCTCAAAGAGCCTGGTCACTGGGCCCACCAAGCAGACATTCCATGGGACTGGTCCTGGGTGGTGACTGTTGTTAAGGGGTCTGAAGTTAACTCAGTGCTGGGCTAAGGTGCCAACTGAGAACACAATGGGAGCCGATGCTGCCCAAGTGTGTCCTAGAGGGATCCTCACTGCCTGGGCCGCAGTTGTGTGGCAACTCTGGGCCAGGGGCTAGGATAAGGCAGCAAAAGCACCAATGACAGGTGCGTTCTCTCCGCACCTGTGAGTGCCGACTGATATGTGCCCCCTTGTGCTCGCTTGTCTAATCGCAGTTCAGGCGCTGCGATTCCTTGGCATGGCAGGCAGTGTGCACTGATTTAGGCACTTTGCCCCCAAAGCAGTCTTATCAGATATCATGTTGGAAGAGTACTAAGAATTCTGAGCGTGTACCCTGGAGAGGACTAAGGGGTAGGGGCAGAAGAGGTCAGAGATGTGACATAAAGAGAGCAGGCCCTGCCAGGCTGTTCCAGCCAGATCCACAACCAATAGGCAAGGACACGAGGAACTGTTTTGGCTCAAGATAAGCAGAACCAGAGAGCCCTGGCATAGCTGAGGCTGGGCCAGCAGTGAACTCCAAGACACTGGCCAGGTACAGAAGTTGAGGGTCCCCACTAAGGAGATGGAGGTATTTAATGCACTCTGACTTTGTCCATGACTCTAGACATTGTCGTCCACTTCAGAAGTAATTTTTCAAGTAAACACCTTTGAAAACCACTACCAGTACCTTGATTCAGACAAGGAGCTTAGGCACACTAGTTAGCCTTGTTAGAGCAAGACTGCTGGCTAATTTAGGGGGAGCGTCTTTACATCTCCTGACACCAAAGAACCAAAAGACTTAGACATAATACAGGAGAGATGGACGCTTAATCAGCAAGGCGCCAGTCATGGTTAGAGGCAAGACCAAGTGTGTAAGAGCTTTAGAAGTGTGTCCCAGCCACTATCGCGCTGTACGGACAGCCACAGGACCTCTCTGCCGAAGCAGCCTTGTGCCTTCACTTGTTCTGGTGAGGTTGAGGAGCAGGGAGATGGAGGGGTGATGTCTCTGCCCCATGTGTGCACTGAGGTGGAGCGATAACTGGAGAGGCAGAGGCACTTCCACTGAGACGGAAACTCCCCTTCTGTTCCTGGCCAGCACCTTCCGCACTGCTCAGGCCTTGGCTTCGTGTGTTGGAAAGGACATCAAGTGCCCATCACTGTCTCTGATGCCATGGCTATGCACTCTGAGAGCTAACTATTATCCAAGCGAAGCCTGGTTCATCCTTCAAGCAGCAAGCCAGGCTCTCTGCAGGAAGCTCTCTTCCACATTAGTTCATAGTGCTTCTCACAGAATCTGAGGCAAATAACTCTCAGATATCAGGCAAAGATGAAAAGCAGCATTTTTACCAACCAGTTACAAAGTCAAATTTAATATCGGGCATAAAAAAGTCTACATTAGCCTTCAATTCAGATTCATAGCTTATAATCAAAAGTTGATTTTATTGTTTATACATTTTACAGACAAAATTTACAAACATTATAAAGTTCCAAAATGAATTGATTCTCTAAAATGTACACTCAAACATTTCACATTCTAGGGTACTGGTAACTTCCTTCTCCTCAGAGAAACCACACACACACAGAATCCTGGCCACAGAATCACTGTTCTTGTTTAACTCTCTACAGCTTCTGAAGTTTTCTTCTATTCGAAGTGAAGATGACTGGCTTGGGAAATAGAGAAAAGCAAAAACAAAGAAGGCTGAGACATACCCCCTTACAAGGGCACTTTGTGCCACAGAATAGAGAGGTTTTTTTAATCAGTGTTGCAAGACATGTCTACTGTTCTCCCAGCGAAGAGTTCCTGCAAGCTTCCAATGGTGGGGAAGCGGCCCACTAACGGTATACCCCCCATCTTTACCCAAGGGGCTTGGTGGCCATCCAGAGATTTTACACAGATACTTCTGAGTCATAACCCATAAGAATAAAGAAATACTTTAAGCTGAACAAACAAAATTGGTTCAGGGCCACTTTTAAGAATTATAAATATATTGATAGAAGTCAGATTTCTAACTCCTGCAGGAAGAGGCATGAGCAGCATATGTCAGGAGAACACAGCAATGTGCCAGACAGGCTTTGGCAATGCGACCGCCGGCAGTGACAGAAGGCACAGGGCTATTCACAAAAAAACAGATTTCTAAAATTCCCCTGACCTGGCCCCCTTTTCCCTGGGCTTGTGTCCAGCATGTCCGTGAGTTTCCCCTGAACTTAACCAAAGGAAGAAGAACAAACACCCCAGTGTCCCGACAGCAGGGCCTGCAGAGAATTGGGAGCCTCCACACAGACAGACCATAACCCGATGTGAAGGAGGAGCCCACGGGAGCACAGTGCTCTGGCTGCAGCGTCAGTGCCGTCTGCGCTCCCACCACATGGGCCAGAGAGGACGTACCTGTGCACAGCAGCCGTCAGCGCACTGGGTGCCACGTCACTCAGAAAGGCGCACTTCCAGAGGACACACAGTCACAAACAGACATGTCGCCATCTCTGCTGTCCACTGTGGTGAGGGCTAAGTGACCTGTCTTCAGCATGACTCATTTTAGCTCAGCTTTTTTGTTTTGTGCCACCTGCTGAGACTCTCTCACGCATCCCGGCCTCCTGCGGGAACCCCAGAGTGCTCAGGTTACAGGTGTGCGTCACCTCCACTCTGGGGGACACACAATTCCTTTAAGCTGGTGTATTCCCCACATTTAAGAAATGCAGAAATTTTCCAAGTTGTATTTTTAACATTGGAAGAATACAAATGGAGTCCAAAAGAGGGCTCTTCATGACTCCCACAGAGGTCGGGCATGGCACGGGAGTCTTGATTTACCAGAGCAGGAGACAGAAGTGCAGACGTCAAAAACTCTATCTGCAGTTCTTAGGGAGTCTGTGGCGCATTCCCCAAATGTGAGTGGCTCTGTATTAGCGGAGCTTAGTTCCACTTGTGATAGAACACAAAACTAATGACTCTCTAGACAGTAAGAGATAATCATACAGCCAGAGCTATCTAATGCCTCCCAACTTGCACCTTATCCGAGTTCCCGGCAGAACTGAGCTCTGCAGTGAAGCAGAACAAAGGTACATGCACAACAGCCAAGTCAGTGTAAACACAAGAGCAGCAGGGCTTCAAGGCGTCAGCATCACTATCGTATGTTGTCCAGATAATGCACTTCTGGATAGAGACAGTTGACAAGAAGAGCCAGCAAGCCTTTCCCATTCTGAAGGCAATGGCCAGGATGCTTTATGAAGCTGACAGCTTGCAGTATCTGATCCTGGTACTCCACATACTGTTTACTGAGTGTCATGGATTCAAGAGCAGTCAGTACCTAGAAGACATGAGAGACAAAAGGACTTAGCCTGTGACTGCACACCACCTGACACCATCGTGATCCAGTTCCCCTGGAGCCTGGAGGGAAGGCAGTAGTCCAGAAGGCAGGCTCTGGGGACACATGGAGGAGGTTAGAGGAGGCTGCAGCAGCCAGGCTAGAGTTATGGCCCTGTCTCACCTGCCACGGCCATGTCCCTGCCTACCTTGTCCCTGCTCTCCCTGGTTCCACAGCCAGCTCTCCCCAACCAGACGCCAACCGCCCCCTCCTCTTCACAGGCACCAGCTGCATCTCCCCAGGATGAAAGTGTAGCCCGCTGTGGGGTTTGTTCTGAGGTTACGGAGCATCACAGGAAACAGAGTGAGCTGCTCAGTGCTGCACATGACAAGGGTGCCACCTCGGCCAACAAAGTGACAGGTCAAGTTCCTCCATAAGACAGACAGAGCATGCCTGGGGAAAATACAAGTCCCCATACCCTCTTTACCAGGAAAGCTACAACAGTTTCCAGATCTGTAATTTCAATGTGTTTTCTTCCTTCACTGGAGAAGAAAGAGAGACGGTACATGGAGAAAACAAAGATTCCAAACCATGATCTTGGGAGGTGGGGAGCTGTGTTTTTCCAAGTGCCCAAACTCAGTCACCTCTGGGATTCTGAAGATACGCACCCAACCCTGGAATACCCACCACACATGGAGTATGCTACCTCCTCTCCCCTCCAGTTTTTGGAACCCCTGGTATTAAAAAAAATATAAAGATGGATTTGCTTGGTTCAGAATATAAAGAGGGAGATATTCTTTAGTATGGTAAACAAGCAAGAAGCTTAGAAATAAATTACTAAGCCAGTCTTAAGCAGAACTTAGGGCTGAATTTTTTTCAGTGGGACAGCCCCCACATTACTGATTCTTTGAATTTGGCCCGGAATGACCAACTGGAAGAGCTGGCCCAGATAAGTCATCTGAAATCTGAAAGCCCTGCTAGCAAGTATGAAAGGCCATGTCAGGAGCAACACGTCAAGTCTAAGACAGGGGCCCACATGACCTGTGGTCACAACGACAGCAGAATTCTGTTGTACAATCTCAAATACACCAGAAAATAAATCTCACCGACTCTCAGTCTGCCCACATGAGCTCATCTGCCCATCTGTGAGACTTTCTTTCTTTTTTTTTTAAAAGATTTATTTATTTATTTATTTATTATGTATACAACATTCTGCCTCCATGTATGCCCGCACGCCAGAGGAGGGCACCAGATCTCATTACAGATGGTTGTGAGCCACCATGTGGTTGCTGGGAATTGAACTCAGGACCTCTGGAAGAGCAGTCAGTGTTCTTAACCACTGAGCCATCTCTCCAGCCCTGTGAGGCTTTCTGAAGACACTCGGGACTCCAGCAGTGAGTGACCAATACCCGATGTCTTACATCCTGAGATCCCGATGCCCATGAAAAATCTACCAATTGCACTAACTGATCCTTGCTCTGTTTGTTTGTTCGTTGTTTGAGACAGAGTCTCTCTGTGTAGCCCTGGCTGTCCTGGAACTCACTGTGGAGATCAGGCTGACCTTGAATTTACAGAGATCTTCCAGTCTCTGCCTCTCAGTGTTGGAATTAAAGGTGTGCACCACCACACCTGGCTTCTGATCCTCACATGCCCTGAGCACTTGCCACACACAGACATCCTGCAGAGTGGAAAATGAGGAACAGTCTGGAGACAGACCAGCCACATGAACCCCAGTCCCAACACCTACTACTTACTGTGTGTGGGGACAAATTTCCTAGCTTCTCTCTCTCATGTCTCCTCATCTACAAGATGAGAATAGCCACCACTCTGCTCCAGGGTGTTATGAGGATGAATGCACAGAGTGTTAACTCACTAACGTTAGAAGAGCCTGGCAGGAGCCAGCACTCAAGGAAGGCAACCACTATTCCACTACTTCAAATTGACTCCATACCCAGTTGCCAGATGATAAGGTGAAAACAAGTCCCAGGAATCAGACCCAGGACGTATAGCCATCCATGCGTTCAGTGCACACTTCTAATAGCTACCCTTCTGTTGGGTATTCAAGCACCTGCCCACTGCCTGGTCACTCTTAGGCCTCATGGGACAGGAACCACTGCTTTGGTTCCAGGGAGAGCTCAGCCAACTGACACTCAAGTCAAGTGAGCCATTTTCTGTGCAGTGCCAGCCCTGGTAGCAGGAAGCACACTTACCACGCTCTCCAGTACCAAATTCAACCCTAGACCAGTTTGACCTGGCCATGTCTCTTCATTGCTCTAGTCTGGTACCTAGAAAAACCAGTGCAGGATCTGAGACGAGCCCACTCAGGGAGGTTGAGCGAGGCTCAGGCCTCGGGGGCACATGTTAGAATTGCCGCCACCCTTCTTAAACTCCAGTCTTGAGGTTGCTGTCACTGACCTGCTGAGCTTTTGGAGTCAGATGTAATTCAGAGCTAGGCTTCAGACGAATCTGGTCTTCTGCAGGCACCTGAACTGACAGGAAGGCGGCCATGCCTCTGGCAACCACACGGAACCTTGAGTGTTAACAATAGGTCAGAAGTGAGTGACCATTAAAGAGAACAGTTTCATATACAAACCCTATTTCCCATTTTAAAAGGAAACAATATAGCTCCATTTCCAGATCCTTTCTGGACTTAAGCTCTTCAGGGAAACCCTACTTAATGTTTCCTTCCTTGGTTACCCAAATAGTGTGTGCCCATTCAGATTCAAGAATGGAAATGTTGGTAAAGACACAGAATAGCTGGGACAGTCAGACACGGTACACCACGGGGCTGCTACAGAGAGCCGTGTGTACTGTCTTAGTAAGCAAAACAGAGTGGTCACGTCACCCAGCAATCCCATCCTAGGTATGCACACAAGAGAACCAAAGACAGACATAGCCAAAAATGTATGCATGAACATTCGCAGCGGCATTAGTTACAACAGAAGCAAAGACTGAAGCAACCCAAATGTCCAGTAGTTTCTAAACAGACAACGTGGCAGATCCACACTCGTGTGTGCACTCAGCCATACAAAGGAATAAAGGGATGGGGCTCAGCTGTGGACACTTGTCAAGAATGCATAGTTCAATCCTCAGTACCACAAGAACATAAGCAAGAACTGCTGACACACGCTACAACACGGATGACCTCGGGAAAGCATTTCCAGATATTAAAGGCCACGTACTATACAATTCCATTTTTAGAAATTTCCTAAGAGGGACTTAAGTATGAAGTCAATTCAAGTTGTCAGCGATGAGGGGAAGAAGGAAACGGGGGTGACTGGTGACTACAGAGCTTGAGGGGTGAAGAGAATGTTCTAGAGCTAGTGATGGCTATCACATTGTGAATGTCATTCAATTATACATAGTAAGATGGTTACTATAAGAAATTAAGTTATACATATTTTACCATAATTAAAAAAAAGAAAAGCACTTGATTCAAGCAAAAGATATGCGAACAAATTTAAGTAAAATTAAAATTGTGTCTGTCACATCCTACCATAAACAAACGTGGGATTATATGGTCTGGAATGAGAGATCTCCAAGTTTACCACACAGTGCATGTCAGCACAGTAGACCTCTTTTCAATAATGGCAAGGATTTAAAAAGAAAGCCAGGCTATAGCTGGGGTGGAGACTAGAAAGGGAGTAATGGGAGGGAGGGAGGGAGTACTGGGAGGGAGGGGGAAAAGAAAGGGAAGGGCAGAGGGGAAGAAACGATAAGGAAGACAGCACCTTGGCTCAGAATGGAGGACCACTGGCAAACTCTTCCCTGCTTTGGGACTCTAAGCCACAAAACCCAGACTTGTCTGTCATCACCTCTTACTAATTAAATCAGGCCCACCATGATGTCATGACAGTTCTACACTGAATCCCTAACAGGCCCTGATTCCCCCAAACTCACAGGATGGGGACCAAGTAACCAGAATGAAACAAAGGACTGAGATACTTTAATTCGTCACTGGCTCTAAACCAAAATGAAATCAGCATGAACAAAAGGTAAGATTTGACCTTTAAAACAAAGTTGTACATCAAGAACAAATAAACACGTTTTTTAGAATATAAAGATGTAAACAGTCTCTGGCCTTTGCCTCCATCTCTCCAGAAACCTATGCGCCCTAAGTCAAAAGCCTATTCCAGTGTCACACCTCTACCGGGAGCGGCTGAGGCTCACCAAGGCGGGCAGTGTAGGCTTCCTCACCTGTTGGACAGAGGTGACTTCCGGCCCAAGCCGATGGCCCCCAGAATCCCAGAGCTGAGCCTCTCCTCGGCCAGGAGGCTCTGCCTGCCCTGCAGCATGAGCAGGATCCGGATGACAGACTCTGTCAGGACTGACTCGTTCTGCTCCACCTGAGCCAGCGACAGCTGCAGGACCTGGTGCCACCATAGGAACAGCTTTGCTTCTTCCTGTGCGGAGCTGGGGAGCAGCCAGAGCACAAGAAATGTAAGGACTTTCCCACTCACGTCTAACAGAAACTCGCATCTGGGTTTTACAGGAGGAGAAATACATTACTCTACAGTCATATGCCAGGGCCAGCAGGATGGCTGAGTGGGCGGAGGTACTTGCCTATACTCTGAGTTTAATCCCCAGGAACCCACAAGTACACATACATACACACGTTAAGTAAATGAAAACAAAACTGAAGAAATTAAAATTGAAGAAAATAAAACCAAGGTTAAAGTGTTAGCAAAATGTTAATAAAGTAATGGGTGTTGAAATTTATAGAAAAAGCACCACGTGAGAGAAAGACGGCATGCAACAGAGCTCAAGTGGAGGGGTTTTTTATCGGCGGAAGTAAATGGGAAAAGGGGGAAGAGGGGAGACAGGCCTCTGGGGACAGGAGGAGGAGAGGAGAGGAGGGGAGTGGAGGAGAGGAGAGGGAGAGACAGATGGAGACAAAGAGAAAGAGAGAGGGATGGGAGGTGGGCAGGGCCGTTTTAAAAGGGAACACAGTGAATGTGCACAGGGTGCTCTTAGTGGCTATGCTGAGGGTGTAAACCCCAAGGTCAGGCCAGTACAGATGCCTGAATACTAGCAATGGGGCTGGAACAGCTACCACTGACTGAACATCTGCATGCCAGGCACTGGACTACATCCTCTGTCACTTCATCTTCTATAAGAAAGTTGGTGCCTCAAATATTGTGTGAAGAGATTTAAAGGAACAAATACATCTGCTCAGAAAATTAGCTCAGCAGCTAAGAGACTAAGAGTCCCCCAAGCATGTGTACTCCCTGAAAGTTTGCTTGACTTTTATGCATCCCTGGGTTCTGGGTTCTTGAATTAATGCTTATGTAAACTGGGAATCCCAAGTAAGGCAGCGGGCAAGCATACCTTGGGTACACCTGTTCCAGCCACTTGTTTAGGATGAGGAGCACCTTCATCTCGTTCCTCAGAGTCTGTTCACTGTTTAAACACTGAAGCAGGTAGACGTAGAGAGTCAAGCAACTGCCGAGGGCTAAACACTCCTGCAGAAACTCTTGTATGGTGAGCTCGGGGACTTGAAGGGACACCAGAATGGGGCCCCATCCTAAATTTTGATTGAGGGAGCCTAGGAAAAATCACCAAGAGGAAATATCAGTATATACTCAAGTACATAAAAATGGCCTGAGTTGATGCCCATGGTCTGTGCAGCCACCGGGAGCCATACTGAGGTGTGAGGCATGTGTGATACCAGAGACCATGTGATGTCTATGGTCCGTGCTGTCACCAGAAATCATGTACAAGTCCATGATCCATACGATCCATGCTCCTGCTAACTGTAAAGGACAAGGAAGCTACTTCTGAAGTGGCATCAATGACTGCAGACTCACAGTTGAGAAAGAGGGACACAGAAGGCATCTATGATAACCCCTCCCCCAGTTCACCCACCCTCAGAACGAAACCGTCTAAACAGAAAATCACTGAAGAGAAGTCTTAACAGCTGTGATGAGGATGCTGACCTGACGGCTTCTGGCTGGGGTGCGGGTGGGAAAGGACTCAGTTCTCCTTAAGGGGCTGGCAACTGGGAATTTGACCACGTTACAGGGTGTTTATGGGCAACAAATTAGACTTGCTCATTTTCTCCTTCGTTTGGTGGGGAGGTCTCAAGGGCGGGGGTGGGGGCACACCTGGGAGGACTGGGAAGTGAGTGTGCACTGGGTTCATGATGTGAAATTCCCAAATAATCAATAAAAATATTATGAAAAAAGGAAAGAATTCTAACGACTGTTTTCACTTTAGCCTCATGGAACACATCATTTCTCAGAGTGGCCTGGAGGCCAGAAAAGTGAGAGATGCCCCGACGCTTAAGACTGGAAAACCTCTACCGGCTGCTACCTAACTAGAACTCAAGACTGTGTGTCTTGAAACTTCCTTTCTCGTTATATGATGATGATTAGCATCTTTAGGTACCAAAGAGTTTTAACTTTAATCAACACAGGCATTTCTAAGAAAATAAATCTCTCATAAGCATTTTTACTCACTAAAGTACAGCTCATTAACCATTTTGATGTTAGTAACACAAACAAATTTGAACCCTGAGTGTTGTCCGGAAGGCTCTCAGCCCTTTGGGAGGAGTGGAGGCAGGTGCATGGTGAGATACAAAGTACCTCCACCGCAGCCACGGCAGGGGGCAGGTATGGGCTACCCCGGAACCTCACTCTGATCTTCTTCCTTTCTTGTTATTTATAGTAATATTTCATATCTGAATATCAGAGTTGAGAAGAGCCATTCTGAGCAGGTCTTAATTACCATCTCCAGAGTTTGGGGAAGAGAATATGAACAATAAAAGGATGAGGAGCAGGAAAACGTGATCCTTATAGAACAGTTTTAAAAGTAGGACAAGAAGGCTGGGGAGGTGGCTCAGCAGTTAGGAGCACTGACCCGGAGTGCAATTCCCAGCACACACATGGTTGCTCACAACTTTCAGTAATTCCAGCTCCAAGTGATCCACACCCTCTTCTGGCCTATATGGCATTTGGCACAGATGTGCTATACATAAAGACATGCAGGCAAAACACCCATACACAGAAAATAAAAATAAATAAATCTTAATAAGAAGCAAGGCAAGAAGAAATAAAAGATCTCTATGAAAACCTCTCACCAAACATGGTAAAAAAAAAAATCACCACATTATTATATAAGTTCTGGTTTACAGCATTTGCTTTGAAAACTGACTTTGCTATTATAACATGGTTGGTCTGACATTCTAAAGCAATGTAAAAAACAAATTAGCATTTTTTTCTTTCTCGAAACATAAGATTGAACCCAAAACACATGGGCCACATGTTCTGATGTTGAGTAGCTCTTTATGGAAAAAAAATTATTTTTATCATATGTGTGTATATATATATAGTGCGTGCGTGTGTGTGTGTGTGTGTGTGAGAGAGAGAGTGAGTGATATGAGAATTCCTGACAGAGAGAATTAGAACAACGCCACTTTGGGAAGAGCGGAACACTCCCTGATGACAGGCGTTCGTCTTCCTGGAAAGATCACTGCAATGAGAAGAGAAGATGGTGTCCTCTTACCTTCCTTGAAGTAGGCAGTGATGCAGGCTTCTGTAATTTCTGCCATGTGGCGGACCGATGCCAGGCTTTGGCAGGCTGCTGTTAAAAGGGGCAGCACTACCAACCCATGAACCTTTTGGCCAATCCAGGTCCGAATGCTGCCTCCGAGGAACTCCGCTGTTGGAATAGTGGCATTGTTCATCATCATTAGGACTTCTGTAAAGAGGCTGCTGAGGGCCATGTGGCGGGCCTGGTTGTCCATGTCTAAAGGCAAAGACAGATATGCACTCAGACCACTAGGACAGGGACAGGAAAGTGGTCATAAGAGCAACAGTTCTTATGTTCTCCAGGGTCTTCCCACTCCTAGTGTCTGACTAGGCAGAAAGGATCTGATGACAACTGGATTTTATGAACAGGAAATCAGGAACTTCCGCAAGTTCCCTGAATAAAGTATGTGAGAGGAACACTCTCAGCATTTCCTTCCAGCCCATCTCCATTCCTCCTGCAGAACCACTCCCACCACAAGGGCCGCCCCGTGGTCACCCTGAGCCAGGACTCAGTAAGCTCTCTATTATCCTTTCCGCACCCCACTGCCGTCTCTGCAGACTCACTCTTAGTCCTGCTGAGTCTATAACTAGGAGCCCCCTCCTCCTACCTCACCTCCATTTCCTGGGGATTCTACCTCGTGGTGCAGACCCTGGTCCCTCCAGCTCTTTCCTGCTTCCCCTTTCAGCCTTCTCTTCCAGCCCATCTCCATACATCTGTGATGTCCACCAACCCACAGAAACACTCTCTACCGGGGACCCCACAGTCACTCAGGTGGCTAGAATCCAGAGTGGGCAATTGTAAACAAACAACGGGATACCCACCCAGCAAGAAGCAGACCAGACAGTCACACCAATAAAGATGCCAAGCATCTTAATTTCAGAGCCTAGATCCCAGAAACACAAACATGAACAGACAAGACAATATCCATCCTCTAGAAGCCAAACCCTATCGCAACTGATCCCGAGACAAGCAATTTAGTGGAAGCATAAGACAAGAACTTCAAAATAGTCACTCTCTATGTTCAAAGACCATAAAGAAGATATAAATAAATGCCTTGATGAAGACTGGAAACACAAACAAGTGAATAAAATAATGAAAACAATTCAAGACATGAAAGCAGAATTTAACAAAGAAATTGAATAACCAAAGAAAACCCAAACTACAATAAAACTGGAAATGAAACCTCGGGAGGGATATCAAACCAAAAGCTCGAAGGTAAGCCTCACCAAGTTAAAAGACACAGGAGAGGGAATCTCAGGGCTTGAAGACAACAAGGCTGAAGGAATGGACAGCTCAGTCAAAGAAAATGTTAAATCTAAAAAAAATCCAGACACTATGAAAATACCAAACCTACAAATAATAGCTATAGAGGAAGAAGAAACTCAGGTCAAAGGCAGAGAAAATATAGCTATCAAAATTGTAAAACCAAATTTCCCCAATCTAAACAAATTACCTATCAAGGTACAAGAAGCATACAGAACACCAAGTAGAACCAGAAAAGAAATTCCCATGACACATCATAACCAAAACACTAAATGTACAGAATAAAGAAAGCATATTTAAATCTTCAAAGGAAGAATGACCAGACCACATAATAAAGGAAGGATTATTAGAAAACATCTGATCTGCCAGGCGTTGATGGCGCATGCCTTTAATCTCAGCACTTGGGAGGCAGAGACAGGCGGATCTGAGTGAGTTCGAGGCCAGCCTGGTCTACAGAGCTAGTTCCAGGACAGGGTCCAAAGCTACAGAGAAACCCTGTCTCAAAAAAACAAAAAACAAAACAAAAAAAACATTGAATCCAGACATGCTGAATACATTTGATAGATGGTTAGCAAGAACTAAAAAGAACTGAACATCAAGAAAACAATAAAATTTAAAAATGGGGTATAGAACTAAATAGAGAGTTTTCAAAATATGAAACACAAATTACTGAGAAACACTTAAATATTCAACATCCTTACAAATCAGGGAAATGCAGATTAAACTACTGAGACTTCATCTAACCCCAGTCAGGATAACCAAGATCAATAAAACAAATGACAGCACATGCTGCCTGGGACATGGAGAAAGGGAGCATTTACTCATTGCTGGTGGGAGTGCAAAGTGATATAGCCACTCTGCAAATCAGGAAGGAGTTTCCTCAGGAAGCTGGGAACTATTGACCTCAAGATCCAGCTATAATACTTTTGGGTATATACCCAAAGGACTATACAGTTTATTAAAGAATTATTTACTCATGTTCATTGCTTCTCTATCCACAATAGCCAGAAATTATAAATAGCCTAGGTTTTTATAAACTAATGAATGGATAATTAAAATGTGGTACACTTACACAATGTAATATATTCAATAAAATAATGAAATTTGGAGGGCTGAGCTAGAAATAATCACCCTGAAGTAACCCAGACTCCAAAGACAAATATTGCCTGTTTTCTCTAATATGTGGATGTTAGCTTTTAAACTTCCAGTAAGTGTTCTATAATCTGAGTAACCACAAAGGTCAGGCCCACAGTAAGAAACCAGGAAGGGAAAGGCTCTCCCAGGGAAGGGAAACAATATAATGTTATTGAGAGACAAAGGGGAACTAGACTAGGACTACTAAATAAGGAGAGGGATGTGAGAGCAGAATAAAGGAGGAAATATGGAGAGAGAGAACTAACACTAACGGCCTTATGAGAAACCACATGGAAATCTGCTACTGTAGAAGCTTCCTAAGATACATACATATGTGAAGGTAATCTAACTGGAGTCACCAAGTCACAGGAAAGACGATGCTCCAACTAGACATGCTACCAAGTAAAACTTTCAGTGTCAGGAATGAGTTACATCTTCAGTTGTTGGTCAAAGGAGTCCCATTAGTAACTCCCAAACAACACAGGCATTGCCAAGGCGACTTCTTGCTCTCCACTATCTGATGGCAAAGCCCTGCAGCTGAGGACAGCACCTAACTTCTATCATTGAACAGAGAAGTCAAGCTGGTGCCTAACTAGGAACTTCGCCCCTACTAACTAGTGTTCACGGTGCTGGAAAGTACTCTGCGAGCTACCAGAGGAGAAATACAACACCAACATAGCTACACATCCTGTGACTTACAACAGTGACTTCCCTGCAAGACACGGTGGTTGCTGGGAGTGAACTCAGGCCCTCTGGAAGAGCAGCCAGTGCTCTTAATCCCTGAGCCATCTCTCCAGTCATTACACTCTACTTCTAACTTCAAAGTTCCTTATCTTTTTACCATTCTACCAATAATTATAATTTTTTGTTTTTGCATTTTATTGAGTATTCTTGGTTGTTTTCAGTAGAAGTCATTGGCAGGATGTCTGTTCACTGACCTGCTAGCCTCCACAGACATGTCTTGACAAGTCATCAGGTGACTCTGAACTTCTACTTAAGAGCTGACCTCCTATAAAGCTGCTTCCTCCAGATCATCACTTAATGTCTTATCTAGTTTGAACCTCAGTCCAGGTCACTTCACATCCGCATCTGCCAGGGTCAACCTCTCCTCACACTGTAACACTGCTGCTTGTCCCAGCGGCCATGACTGTTTGGATCAGGAGTCGTGGTCTTGACCATCCTCCTCAGCTCACAAAGCCCAACACACACAAGAACTCACTGCCCATAAGAGTATGTGGCTTTCACTGGCCACTTACCAGGTGGGTTAAAGACAACGACATCATCTAAGAGCTTAGCTATTTCCTGCTCCAAGACTGGGAAGGTGACTTTTCCACTTTGTTCCAGGGTACTGAGAAACTGAACCATCTGACGAGTGAAAGCTTGGCACTTTGGAACTATGTCCTGATGAGAGAGAGAGAGAGAATCCTGTCAGTCAAATGAACTGAGTGAGAAATGATAGCTCAGTTTTCCTGGGGAGCACAGCATGGCACTGACCACATGGCTCAGTTCTCCTGGGGAGCACAGCATGGCATTGACCACTTGAGCAGAGTGATGAATGTTGTGGGGCAATGCTCTTGGACACTGTAAAGATTTGTCACTCAAATTTGGTTTTAATAAAACACTGATTGGCCAGTAGCCAGGCAGGAAGCATAAGCAGGCAAACAAACTAAACATGATGGGAAGGAGAAGGCTGGAGTCAGGAGATGCTGGCCAGAAGCAGAAAGAGCAAGATGGGCATGCTGTACTAAGAAAAGGTACTGCCACATGGCAAAGTGTAGGTAAAGAATATGGGTTAACTTTAAATGTAAGAGCTAGTTAACAATAAGCATGAGCTATTGGTTGACCATTTATAAGTAATATTAAGCCTCTGTGTGGTAATTTGCCAGGTATTTGGGACCAAGTGGCTTCAAGACAGAAAACTTCTGCCAACAGAAGAGGACAGATTGGGAAGCCACAGAAGACCTCATCTAGACGGCCCAGGAGATGTGTCTGCAGCTACGCTAAACAGTGATGGCATACAGATGAGAATGCTCCATGTCACAAAACTACATTAACAATGCCTTTAACCAAACAGTGACTTACTTGTCAAAAATGTCCCCCAAAATGTTCACATTTACTCTAACTCAAACCTCCAGCTTACACTCATTACTCTCTCTGCCTCTCTGTGGACTAAGACATTCAATTTTAAAGCCCACCCACTGCTATCTTCAACCCCTCTGATCTCCAGTCTACCTAAAGCATTGCAAGTAAATGGGAAAAGTCAAACCAAAGGACCCAGGAGGCCATGAGGATATGGTGGCCACACCCAGCTTTCTCTGCGGAGCAAGTCAGGAGACTCATGACTAGCCTTACTAGCACATGTTCGACTTCTGGTCCCAAAGAATATGCCAGTTTTTAGACCACTCACTCAACTTACAAGATGCTTCTGGCCCTCAGCAGGAACAGAGAGTCCTGCAGACACTTTTAAGAGCTTCACAACGCGTTCAGCAGAACAGTCTTGGGCCAGGATGACAGATGGTGGGTAATGACTGCTGAAATAACCCAACACACTCTGGTATGACACAAAGTCCACAAGATGCCACGAGAGTGAGCTTGTCTGTCCAAGAAGGCTTAGTAAAGGTGAATCCTAAAAATGGAAGACAGGATGCTTTATATTCATTTCCTCAGAGATATAGGTCTCTAGTTATCTGTGGGATAACAGAAAAGTTAGGGAACCAAGGAGGTACACACTCAAGTAAGCATCAAGTGGAGTCATGGCAAAAGTGCAGTAAGATCTGCAAGAATTCAGATGGGCTCAGGTGTACACAGCAACATGGACTTCAAGAAGCACACTGAACTAAGAATTAACAAGATAAATTATCCTAGTTCAGCAGGGTTCTCTGGATTATTTAGAGCAAGACTTAGGGCTGTCCAGTAAAGTAAGCACGTAGCTGAAGGCACAGTTCAGGTGCTGAGCATCTACTCATACTGATATCTGTAAGGAAAACATCATCAGGAGAAAACAATGCACTAAGAAGCCACAGCTGATCACAGCTCCCCAAACTTACTGTTTGATCAACCAGCTGAGTTTCCTTTGCCAGCAAAATCATCATGAAAAGCAGACAGACAACCATGCTCTGGGTTTCGGGAAGGGGACTGGGATTCCAGGCATCGGAGAGCACACTGACCCAGTTGACTCTGCAGAGTACAGATCCCAGAAACAAGAAACAGCTCTTGGGGCTTCCACGTTCCACCTGAAGTGAACAAAAAAAGTATAGTATATTGTATGTATTATACATGTTTTTAAGAGGTCACTCTTCCCTAGACTGTAAATATTCACTGATAATCGTGCCTTATATAACTTCCTCCAGGTAAAGTAGATATGTGCATTCTTGAGCTTGCAAATTTGTACTTCCCTGTCTACTCTAACGATTCTAAAGAGAAGAGTGCCCTTCCCTGGCCCCAAGCAGATGGAAACTCCCTGTCACTGAGCCCCTGGAGCTGCAGGAGTGGAGGGACCTCGGGTGAGATGGAGCTCAAGGAAAGCTCATTGATGAGGAGTTTTCAAACCTCAGTGTGTATCAGAACAACTGCTGGCACACCCAAGAGGTGCTGGCTTCCCCAGGATGTGCTGGAGCAGGGATGAGCAAGTTCCCCTCTGATGTTCATAAGGATGCTCCTGAGACCACACTTGGAGAACCACTACACTGGGACATACGATATTAATATGAACTTCCAATGTAATGCGGTTTTCTAAACGTCTCCACATGACTGGTCTTTACAATCTAATATTTAAATTCTATTCAGAGGTGTACTTGGGTGCACTATAAAGTACATAATCAATTTGAAAGCTGTATTTTATAGCCCATTTTAATGTTTCTAATTTGCTTATCTTAACAAATTTAGGCACCATAAATTGTTCTTTTAAAGATTAATATTAAAAGCTCTCTCTCCCCTACTTATAAAATAAGGATGAGACTGGACTCTGGTGGTGACTTGTGTCTGCTCCCTCCTGGAAGACAACTCTTCATCCTTCACAGTCTCTTCTCCAGCCTTTTCATCAGGCTTGCAATTTAAAAGATTCTCAGCTTCTGGGTAGGTCAAGGCTACCTAATCCTTAAACTCCTAGAGACAGACTCTATCGTTCCTTGGCAGGCTATTCCACAGTTTAATTAGTCTTCTACAGCATCCCTCTCACTGAAAATGTTCCTTAAAGGTCATTAAGCCAACATTCTCTCATGTGTTTGTAATGATGATTAAGTATCTACTCAGGACCTGCCCCTCAACGGCTGAGTGGCTGCCAGAGCAGTACTGGGTAGGGCTTCACAAAAAAAAAACACCAGAGGCCCCAGTACATCTTACTAATCATTATAAATAATATTTGTGTCTTAGTGATCATCACAAATATAGAAGTCTATCAATTAAAGCCCTGAAATGACTCAGTAGCAATAAATATGACAGACATTAGGTTAGGAGGAAGCACAAATGGACTGATGACTAATGAGCTGAAACAATCATAAAAGTCGAGCTCACTGAGGTTCTGACACAGAGAATACATCAGCCCAGGCTGCTGCTGAAGCTGCCCTGGGGCTCCAGGAACTATTGCTTCTGTTGAAAAGGTTCACAGGCACATCTTGGCCTTCCTTAAGATTACTCCAGGTCCTTCCATGATTATGATGTGTCCCTGCTTGTTACGATGGCTTTATCTCCCACAATCTAATTATTCACCGCCATAACTGCTGAAATCAACTTGGAGTTGAGTACTAATTCACATTTTGCCTTCACACAACATTCACAAGTAGGCCTAACAATATTATCCAATATTATAACAATGATTATAGAGATAAACACTAGTCAGGACTCAGTAAGCTAGAGAATCACGCAGCCTTATCCCTTAAACTAGAGAATGGCCAACATGTTAGAGACAGCCTTTCTCTGGGCTTTAAAATTAGTCTGAAAGATGTGTTCAAATCACTCACTAATGCATGGCTCCCACAGGCTGCTGTTTTCCACAGTATGTACCAGAGGGTGACACAGAGGGACACACTAGGGAGGGGACACCAACAAAGGCCGGACCTTGAAGAAGGCCTCCATGAGCCTCTGGTCAGGGTGCAGGTCCTTCCATGCGAGTGTCTGGTAAGCACTATGAAAAGTGTAGAGTATGAACTCCGGCATCTTGGGTGCTGTGCATGCTTCACAGTAATGCAGCAGGTGCAGCCGCAGGGCTCCTTCGTCACCTGGCAATAGCTTGTCTAGATTGTAAAAGGAAATACAGTTCAGGTCATTTGGTTTCTTTAAAAAGGGATAGGAAAGAAAAAGAAATGCTAACACAAAACACAGACTTGTCTTCTCAAGGTGATTAACTTTCTTCTCCAAAACTTCTAAATGGCTTTTTAACCCAAATGCACATCTACAGTCGGCTGCCCTCTCATGTATCCAATCCCACTCCATTAGCACGTCTTTCTTCATTTAGCGTTTTGAGAGAATTCCTCAAAAGAAATATTTCAACATTTCTCAAAAGAAAGATCAACAAGGTTATAAAAATGCTCAGCATTACTAAATATCACAGAAATGCAAAATAAAATTCAGGGAGGGTAAGAAGACTGCTAAACAGCTAGAAGTGCGTGCTGCCGAGGCTGACAACCAGAGCTTGACTCCCGGAATCCATATGAAGGAAGGAGAGAACCAATTTCTGCAAGTTTTCTCCACCCTCTGCAGAAATATCACACACACACACACACACACACACACACACACACACACACTAAATGTAGAGAAAAAATTAAAATCACGATGAAGTATAACTTCACACTGGCTTTTTAATCTATTCTTATTTTATGTGGATAGGTGTTTGCCATCATGGAAAAAATAGCACGAAAGCTCCTCAGAAGCCAGAGCAGGCAATACTAAACAGAAGCCAGAGCAGGCAATACTAAACAGAAGCCTAGAGAGGCAATGCTAAACAGAAGCCTAGAGAGGCAATGCTAAACAGAAGCCTAGAGAGGCAATACTAAACAGAAGCCAGAGCAGGCAATACTAAACAGAAGCCTAGAGAGGCAATGCTAAACAGGCTGCAACTACACAACTCAGAGCAGCCACACAGACACTCTAACTGTGGCAGCGGCCATTCTCCTGTCGGCTTCTTAGGAAAGCAGGAGGAAAGGGTGACAGAGAAGCTGAAGGGAAGGCTCAACAGGGCATCGCATGACACCTCCCTACCTTTAAGACTGCTGTGCAGTGAGTCAACGCAGTCAGTGAACAACTGCACGATGCTGGAGGCCACCACAGCATCACTCTCCAGCCAGGGGTAAAGCCGCTGTTGGCTGCTTCACAAGGAAAGAAACACATGCTTAGGAATGAGAGTGTGCATGACAGAGTTAAGAGTCTAGGGCTGGCAAGTCAGAGAACTCTGCCTCTGCGGCCTGAAGCGAGCTGGGAGCTTCTGAAAGTGAAGGATACCTGTGACATCAACCATTAACGCTGACTGCCCCTCTCTCCTAAGGCCAGTACTAGGTTCATCTAGTTTATTTGCACAGCTTCACAGAAGAGCCACACACAGAACAATTCATAGCATTTGTATGACTATGTCACCATGTATCCTGATGTTCACGAAACAATGTTTTCATTTAACGTCAGAGTTACATGATTAAGGGGGCATTCCTGACCCAATAATTTGATATACAACTTAATTCTAAAAATAGCTGAGTTAATAGAAAATGATGAGATCCATATTTATAGACCTACTTTATGAAAAAAAAAACTCTGAAGTATGCAAACAAAACCAACTTCCTTACTGTAGAAAACTGGAAATTAGTGGTTCATTTTGTTTCAAAATTAATATCAAGATAACATCACTAATTGCTCAGGTGAATAATTATATAAACAAAAAATGGCTTGACTTTTGTATTTTATCAACTTAAAATGCCACTGTATTAAAAATTGAATCTGTGAAATCATCATGACCTGTAATAAGTTTCACTAGAACTTAAGTAAATAAATTCCAAATAAATTGGAGTACATGAAAAACTACTTACTTTTCACTGTCCTCTAAAACCAGGATCCAGGGCTTAAAGAGCTGGACGATCTGTGAGTACAGGGCCCTCAGCACTGAAACAGCACAGTTGTTAGAACAAGGAAGGACCTCACTGCCCACTGGCTCCAGCTCATACTAAGTGCACACAAAGTCTACTGTTCCTCCCTGGAAAGCCTTTGCTGACACAGAAACAGTATGGTTAGTGCAACAATGCAGGCTTCCCCTTTCAACGGCTAGGATGACATGAGCTTACTGTTTATTATAGCACAATGTCATAAGTAATTTTATAATGTACATTTTTCCAAGATACATGTTTCCTTCTGAACATTATCCTAGCCTAGGTAAATGATAGAAAGGGGTTAAAGAGAGAAATACACCTCTTTGAACCATACCCCCACCAAGGAGGAGCATAGACAAGCTACAGCAAGCATCCTATACTCGCTGTAAAATCATATAGATATGACGAATATATGAGTTCACACCTGTACCCTTTCCTATTCCCTCTCCTTGACATCTGAGAAGGATCTCTTAATGTGTCTATCTGAATTCCTCCTAATGGAAGGCACAGCCCTTAGCTCCCACCACCTGGAAGCACAATACCTTCTTTGCTGCTGGCAGTCGTGTTTTGGGCCAAGGAGGAGATTTCTACGTCAATCAGCCTTTTCACAAGGTATCCCAAAAATGTCTCCACATCAGTCATATAAGGGCTCCATTTTGAGAACAATCCAAAGCTTTTAAAGTCCAGCTTGGATAGTCGAAGCTTATAAAAGAAGTCAGAAAGCCACTGGATGGTCTCCATTACCTAGAAGAGACAACCAGCCGAACACTGCTCACTAAATGTCCACTGTGGTGCAGAATCTTCCCCAGCCCCTTTCTTCTTTTCTGTGGCTGTAGATGAAACCTAGGACCTCATGATAACTATAAAGCCCCACCACTGAGCCATGTCCTCAAGCCCTTTACAGTACAGCACTACAACAGACTGAGATGGGAATAGAGATTTTTTTTGACAGAACTACAAAAATACAGAGAAAAATAGCAGGTTTAAAATTCTAAAGTAATGAAATCTTTATTTCAAATACATTCTCCCTTTTTCTTTATTTTTGAGTTTTTTTTTTCTTTTTCTTTTTGCTTGTTTTTGATGATAGGTCAAGCTGGTCTCAAATTCCAAGTGCTTTAGCTTGATGTCCTGAGTGCTGTAAGTGCAAGCGTGGACCACACCAAGTTTCAGGTGCATTCAGGCTCGGTGGGCCATACTACGAGGGGATAAATCAGATGTGCTTGGGTGGGAGGAAGGTTTGTACAGGGGAATGCTGGCTTTCCTTCTGTTCAGACAGGAATGGAACTCCATTCAGGAGCATAAGAGAAAAGTAGTCCAGGCAAAGGTCAAAGACGACATAGAGCTCTTACACACACACACACACACACACACACACACACACACACACACACACACCAAAACCAAAACCAAAACCAAAACAAAACACAGCTTTTAAATGTGCTCCAACTGTTTGAAAATACACAGCAAGGAAAATGGGAAAGAATACACAAAGCTGCCCAAGACCTGCTTGTCTGACACAAGCTCACACCTGCTTGTCTGACAAGAGAACCTCTGAGGCACTATGAAGCACAGAGCTGTCCGCAGAAGCTGCTCCCTGCTGGCTGCTTGGGGCATCGCATCTCAGGGCTCTCAAAGTGGCTTTCCAGCACTCAGGACTCAGCAGCTGTTCTGCAGAGCCTAGAGAAGAGACAGAGACAACAGGTCTGTGTTTTTCCCAAACCACTTTCAATCCGAAACAAACAACATGTGTACTTTACAAATAAATGATGATGAAGATGATAATAATTCAATCAAATCTGTAGGAATATACGGTAGAAAAAGACAAAGAAAAGACAAAAAAGCAACTTAACTGGGAGTGAGCTCCACAGATGCCACTGGACCCCACCCTCCAACTGTGACGAGAAATTATATTAGTATGAGTGTGTGTGTGTGTGTGTGTGTGTGTGTGTGTGTGTGTGTGAATGTGAGAGTGTGTGATGAGTGTGTGTGTATTGAGTGAGAGAGCAGATTTAACATGACACAGAACTCTATATGGAAATTAGAGGACAATCTTGGGGTGTTGGTTCCTTCCTTTCACCATGGCTTCTAGGAACCTAACTGTGGTCATCAGGCAAGGGTGGCAAGAAAGTCACCTGCTGAGCCATCTCTAGCCTCATCTTAACCCTTTCAGATGGCATCTACGGAGTGGGGATGGGCTAGCAGACACTCACTGAGCGCTTACCAATCACACCCAGATGGAGACACTTACTCTGCACCAGCAGCCTGAGAACGTCACTGTACTGGTCAGGGAACTGGTAGAGTAGAAGGTGAGTCCAGTGCTTACAGAAAAGATTAAATGGCATCAAAATATCTTCATCTGGTTCAAGGCCCCAGGCAGTAAGTGCCAAGTGAATGGACTCCAGAAGCCTGGTACGATCAGACAGAGGAGGTTTAGTGGCGTTTAACCATTGCTTAACATCGAACTAAAAAAGAAACAGAAACAAGAAGCAGTTTTATTTACATTAGAAAATTAGATGAAGGCAATCTTGCAGTTAGCTGTCTACGAACACAGAAACTAAAATGCACACACGCGTGCACGAGTGAATGTAACTGATGCACACCGTGACACCACCATCTCCATCGAGTCTCTGAGCTGATGTCATGTCCTCAGCTCAACAACCTCCTTTTGAAGTATGAAATCTTACTTGGGATTGGTTAAGGATGTGATCAAAAGCAGAACACTCACCTTGAATGTTCACAGCCCTAGGTTTGACACCTAGCATCACAAAAATACAAACCCAAAACAAAAAACCACTCACTGACTAACCATTCACTAAAGTTTACACTTCCATTCTATTTCTGAAATGCCATACATTTCTGCCTTATTATAAGTTCCCTCTGAGGCTTCAGAGCTGTCCTTCATATGCAAGTGTCAGAACCAAGCAGCCACTTTACAGAGCTTATTTAACAGCCATCGTTTTAGTGGCATTTGTTACCTACCTCGGCTTATAAAATTCAGACTGTTGGAATCCTCAACATTCCACATCATAAAATATATTCACCTCTGTTATAGACTGAGCTCAGTCTCTTCATCCTAAAAAGCGCCAGGGACCCATTGCTTCATAAATGTCACAGAAGCATAATTAAAGGTGCTGACATTCCCGAGGGGTTAAGTCATTGCCTTGCTCTGATAGTCTTCTATTCGGATGAGGACAAGGGAAGCTTATTTAGACCAGGTTTATTCAAATACGAATCTGACATGTAATGATTCACAGATCAAACACCATAGGAGCAAATTCAAGATACATTTAAAAGGGTATTAAACTCCTCTTTCACAAGAAGTATTTCATGAGGAATATTTCATGACTGTACTAAGTTTTTAAAGAAAGCCTGGGCCGGGCACTCAGGAGGCAGAGGCAGGCTGATCTTGTGAGGTCGAGGCCAGCCTAGTCTACACAGTGAGTTCCAGGACAGCCAAGCATACACAGAAAAACCCTGTCTCAAAAGAACAAAACAAAATAAAGCTTGGGATGCTGTGCTCTGAGAGTCACACTCTGGAGTAGGACTGTGCCCCGCACAGCCAGTGCCCGGCCCACAATGGGGAGGCTGTAAAGTCGGGCTAATCTGAGATCATGCAGTGTGGAAAGGGCCTCTCGGCATGGGAAGCAACAGCCACTTCCCAGTTTCCCAGGCGGAATCGTTAGTACCTTGGTGAGCAGCATGAAAATCATGTCACTGTTGTCCTCACTTAAGAACTGCACCACTTTCTCGTACAGGTGGATGAACTCTGCCGGCGCGGCATTGGGGGTGAAGAACGGGGAGAGCAGAGAGCAGAGGCGTCTGTTCTTCAGGATGGTCTGCAGCACCTTCCTGCACTCTGTCCTGGTGCCGCTGATAAACACCTGCACAAAATAAAAGGGGAGCTGCCTCTCAATTTCCTCTGCCGCTTCTCCGAAGCAGTCAGTCTTCAAGGGCACTAAGTAAGGTAAACTAAGTTCTTGTGAATGAAAACATAAAATCAGAAGATATCTAAAATCAAGCACTTTTAATCCTAGCACTCGGGAGGCAGAGGCAGGAGGAACTCTGCGAGTTTGGGGCCAGCCTAGTCTACACAGTGAGTTCCAGGATAGCCAGAGCTACAAAGTGAGACCCTGTCTCAAATAATAATAATGATGATAATAATAACTTAATTAATGTGGCTCGAAAGCTAAGATGCACTAGAATCTAAGAGATTCTCTAAGCAGTCTCAGGGTCAGGAAGGCTTTTCTAAGGAAGATCACAATAAAAATAATAGGCATGATAGCAAGACAAATTTTGAAAGGGTTGTCATTCTACTTCCCTTATCATATTAGCCAAATTTTAAAGCTCAATCTCCAGTTCCACAAACACTGGCTCATATGGGAAGAAAACTTTAATAAGAATGGTAATTCCTAATGTTAGTTATGATAGGGTAACCATATGCAAATCTCCCAGCAGGGCAGTGAGCAAATGCACATAATGCTATAAAATATAAATATACAGTTACACCAAATTCCTCTGATACAATAGTCACATTTTCAGAAAACAATAAATACTAAAGAAAATATTATAAGAACAATTATCTCAGCCTTATTGTAGAAAAAAAAAGAGAGAGACTTTAGCAAAATAGTCACCCAAAAAATGTGAGCACAATACCTTACAGCGTGTCTTTATCACGGAACATGATAAAGATATTTGACATGAACAGGCAGGCCTGTATTTACTAGCAAGGGAAATTAAAAGATACACTTTAAGTGTACAGGAAATAACTCAGCACATATCTGTCTGAAGTGTCTATGTAAGTACCTATGTAGGGATAAAAATGACAGTGCATGTTTATAACTCAAATTATAGCCATAATACTACTATCCCCCGGTATTTAGAATCTTGAGAACATTTTCTTAGACTTTGGGTTCTATACTGTATGGCTCATCCAGTATTATTAACATATTAAATTTGATGAGAAGCAAAGTTCTTAGAAGAAAATAGACTATCATCTGGTGACACAGCTCAGTGGTGGAGTGCCTGCCCAGCATAGGCAAGGCCCTGAGATAAAACCCCAGAAAAACAACAAGGGGTTGAATCTGACTGGCATTCCCATTTATGGGTATCCAAGTGATCAATTAAGTTTGGATGCAAATGTGTGACCAGGGTTGACATTTTTCAAACAAGTGGATTTCCTTTACAACACATCCATAGATCTGCATGAATACTTTGCCTTTGCACGGTTAAAACAAAACAGGTAAATAAATGGTGGCAGAAACAGCACCTGGAAGGCAGCAACAGTCAGGAGAGCAGCACTGAACCCAGCTGGAAGCCCTGGGCTCATTTCTTAGCCCCAGCATTCACAGGTGCATGCTTTAGAGAAGTTGCTTCCCCTTTCAAAGGCCACTTGCTTCTTTTTAAAAACTTCTTATAGCAATACTGGGGCTTGAACTTAAAGTCTCTCATGCATGCTATGGCCCCTACTTTTTTGGTTTTTTGTTTAACTTTTCGAGACAAGGTTCTGCTAAATTGCCCAGGCTGACTTTCAACTCATTCTGTAGTCTAGGCAGGTCTTGACCTTGGGATCCTAAGCAGCTGAGATTATAGGCTATGCCACTAAATCCACTCTGTTGATCATTTTCAAGACAGGAGTGACAGCAGCTATACAGAGTCAGTGTGAGGACAAACTTTAAAATTTAATTAGAAACCATCTTGCAAATGATAAAGGAACTTCAGCCATGTTATTGTTTGTGATACCAACAATCTGTGCCAAAATCTGATGTCTACGTAGTCTTCCAGATGTGAGCCATTTAATCTCTTTTGTAGAAGAAGCAACATTCTAGACCAAAAATCTACCAACATCATAGGAAGCCAGCAATTCTCCAAAGGCTTCTGACTGTATTTAGTAAAGACCCGGGAACTCACAGTATCTGCGCATGGCTGACAGCGGGAATAGTTTTACCTGCCCCAAGATTTCGATGCACGAAGTGAAGAACTGCCTCGTAGGAGGATGGCGCTGGGTCTCATCGCTGACATAGTCCACAACAGTAAAGAAGAGGCTGATGCCAATTTTCTGAACCCCAGGTGTAGACTGCAACTTATAAGCATTCACTAAGGCCCTGTGGGAAAATATGAGCACAATATTTGTCCATGGTAAATAATCCATATTCCCAAATATCTCTGTTTTTCTCACTCCTCAGGCAGTATTTACAAGCGACTTCAGAGGCCTATGCAATAACACTTTAAAAATACTATATGTGGTAAACATGTATCTATCAATTACCCAAAAATTTACTTTTGATAAATAGTAATAATTTTATATGTCACTCTGGAAAATAAAAGTCAACTGCTATTATAAGGACCAATTAACATCCTGGCACTTCTAAAATTTTTTCACATATTGTATATAATTCATAGTTACTTGACTTTTGAAGTCCCTACATTTTTAAACACAAGAACGTGATATCTGTACATTTTAAAATTCAAAATATGCCTGAGGGTGATATGGGCACCAGGCACACAAGTGGCACAGTACATATATGCAGGCAAAACCCTAATACACATAAAACAAATAAACCTACAATTTTTTCCCGAAGATTTTCTTCTAATGCTCACTTTTTCTAGTATTTTCCCAGTGGCAAACCTGATCTAACTCTTCCCAAGTCTGCCCACGGGGGACTCAATGCCCTCCACATGCCACCCCAATTTGCTGAAGGGCTCAGCAGCTGCCATGATGTAGAGTGGAGTTAATTTGTTCAGCTAGCTTTAAGACAGGTGAGTGTATGCCAGGAGCTCTCAGAGAAAACCACAGGGTCATATGCAAGCCACTGAGTACACTGGAAAGTCCTCAACCCTGTAAGGAATTGTGAGGAACTTCATTTTACAACCTGCGTTTCCAGGTAGGTGTAAAACTGAAACAGCCAATCCCCACCCCTGAGCCCGTGCCCGGTATCATCCTACAGTTCAGGGTCTGCCAGACAGGAGACCCTCTGTTTGTGGACTGTAAAGCAGCACCACCAGCAGTCAAGTCTGTTGTTGAAGTATGCGAGTCACAGCCATTATGAGTAACAGAGATGGCTAAGTTCCGATAAAAACCATTCATAAAAATATAGCTACTCAGATTGGACCCCACGTCTCTAGTTTTTTGACTTGCATACTAAATGACTATGGGGTGAGTACAATGGACGATTACTATCAACAACGAAGCTGACTGGAAAGGGGACGTCACAGGACTTACGTGATCAGGTTTTCCGCATGCACAGCAGCTTCCACAATGTTAAGTGTCGGAGGCTGAGCAGCTTCTGCTTGGAACTGTCTTATTTCTTTTTGCAGAACATGAATCTGCTGGCTTACTGCTTCATTCTTGTACATGCCTTCAAACTAAGAAAAGTTCAACAAGTCAGAAGACTTTCAATTTGTTATTATTATTTGTTTGTTTGGTTGGTTTTCTTGTTGTTATTTTGTTTTTGAGATGGTCCTACTCTTTGGCCCAGGCTGTCCTTAAACTCATGGCAAATCTCCTGTCTCAGCCTCCCAAATGCTAGAGATAGATCCACTATATCTAGCCCTCAACAGTCTTCTTGTCCCCTAATATTTCTAGAACAGGTGTTTTATTATAAGCACAGTGGCATATGATGAAGAGATTGTTATGATAGTCAATAACACAATTTAACTCAAAACTTGATTAAATGTAAAATGAATGGAAAAATACGTTTTGAAAACTTACTCAAGGATTATTCTAGCACTCAAAGACAGAAGCAGAAGGATAATGAGTTCAGAATTAGCCTGTGCTACACAAGACCCTGGCTCTAAAAAAAGAAAAAAAAATTGAGGGTGAGGGGGGCAATGTAGCTGAAAGTGATGAGATACTTGCCTAGTATACACAGGCTCTAAATTCAATCCCCATCCTGAGAGTAGGCAGAACTATTAAAGAACTCAGGGGTTGTTTGTTTGTTTTAATGAAGCATCACATTTAGTTTAAATAAAATTTTTCTTCTTTTTGTGCATGTGTTTGTTTTTGGTGATAAGGTCTCACACAACTCAGGCTGGCCTAAAACTCACTAGTTAGCCACGGCGATCACTAGGTAGCCATGGAAGACTTGGATTTCTGATTCTCTTCTAGTTAGCTGTGGAGGACTTAGGTTCCTAATTCTCTCGCCTCCACCTCTGAAGTTCTTGGACTTCAGACATGTGTCACCATGCCTGGTTTAAAGGTATTTTCTTATAAAAATACCAAAAGTTGTAGCTATATATTAACCTATTAAACTGATAAGATGATGAACTAACTTATCAATGGTTAAAATATTTGACAACATATTCTCTTTTCTATTTCAAATCTCCATCAAAAACAAAACCAGCATCTTCTACTGCTGAGGTACTTCCTTTCTCTTCATCTTTTTCTGGAGGAAGATGGGGCAGAGGGATGAGATGGGCTCAGAGTCTCATACAGTTCAGGATTCAACATGTTCTCCAGGATCCAATTAACCACGGCATCCAACTGCAATCAGCTAATAGCATGTGCCAGGAGTGTTAGCCTTTCTAAAGGAGTAGATGCACCGGAGGTCTGGGGAGATGAGGACCCCAGTGCACACCCTAGTCCACTCCCAGGCTGGAGAACCCTAGAACCCTGGGCTACAGTCAGGAAGTTTCCATTTCTCTATCCTGGCATCTTTTTCTTTTAATCTCTTGGCAGTGAGCAAGGGTCACTAGGAAGGGAGGCTACTTTGGAGAGAAGATGATATCTCTTTAATATATTTTTGTAACTTCCCCAAAACAGTATGATGTGTGTGGGGGTGAACCCATGTCAAACAAAATCAACTGGCTAACTGATTAGTTCCTGGTAAGTTGGTCTGACTCTTAGTAAGGATGTGAAAAACAATAATGGAGCTTTTTGGAATATCTATCAGAAGTCTTCCAAGCCTGAGGCAGTTACTAACACTGCCTTTCCCTAACTGACAGTGGTTCTGTCTGTGCACTTTTGTATTCTTTTTAGGATGTGGATAGATGCACAGTTATCCTTGGCCTAGGATGCTTCTGGTTGAGGTCAGTGGTTTCTAACTAGAAGAATTCCTTGTCACAAGTGCCGATAGCAAAATGTCTCCGGGAAATGCTCTAAATTGGGCGCCTTAGCCTAGCTTCAAGGCCACAACTGCTAGACCAGATGGTCACTGCAGAGGCACAGCCTATCTAACCACAAACAATATGCTGTGTCCTTTTTTAATGATTAAATGCTTGGCATGTGTGTAAGTATATGGTATGAAGGTATGCATGTATGTTCACATGGTGCATGAGTCACACAGATGCAGTGCACATGCATGTGGAGACCAGTGTTTGATGTCAGGTGTGGTGTCATCCTGTATCACACTCCATACATTGAGACAAGGTCTCTCACTTGAACTCAAACTTTCCGATTGGATAATCTTGCTACCGAGCTTGCCCTGGGGCTGCCTCCCAAGCACTGAGAATAGGAGCTGGCTGCCACATCTGCCTTTCATTAACACAGTGCTGGGGATCTGAACTCTGGTCCTCCTGAGTGCACAGCACATGCTCTACCTACTGGGCCGTCTTCCCTGCCCACAGCTGTATTCTTTTACTCTTGATTTCACATTTCTGTGCCCCACACAGATCACTATCTCAGTGGTGGTGAAGAGAATTTTAAGTGCCCCAACTGTGAAGTGAATGGTGCCTCTGCAGATGTTCATATCTGTCACGTGGCACAAATGAAACCCCCTAGACACAAGGAAAACTGAGACCTGTGAATACCTCCTTGGTATCAGCCCATGAGCACAGAGTTTTAAAAGCTCGTCTCTTTCAAGTCTCTTTATCAGAAATGACAAAGGTCAGTGTGAATGGAATTTCTGTTGGCGACTATGTGCAAGGGAATCTGTCACTGGTTCAGCCCGACCATGTCACTGACAAACAGGGGACATGCACTTAGCTGGCTCAAACCTGTGCATCCAGCCACCTGACATCCAAAGGAGGAACAGATATTCAGCACTCGGACACTTGAGTGCCATGCTGCAGTGGACAGCCCATTTTTTCTATTAAATTTGAACTAAATAAGATGGGGCGGTTAAAAAAGGAAAGTCACTCACACACACACACACACACACACACACACACACACACACACACACAC